CTTCTACTATTGTCACGGCCACCCTTAGCACCAGCATTGCAACCATCTCACTGAATCGCCGCAGATCGTTGTTCTGGTCCACCTTGTCGTCCTGTCGTCCTTGCTGATCGTCGAGTATAACATCCTCATCCCTATCCTCCTGCTCCTCCTCCTCCTCCTTCTGTTTGTTTAGGGTTTCGGGTTCAGGGCTTGGGCTTAGGATCATGAGCATGGTCATGGTCATCATCATCATAGTTGACATCTTGTGGATATGGCTGATAGTGCTCGACGTGAGGATGAGCGTTATGAGCCTCACCGTCCTCAAGTTTCTTATGCCCCTCCTGACGATTGTGATCATGATTCATGCGAAAAGCCTGAACTCTGAAACCCTAGACCTTCGGATGAGGCCCGGCACAAAAGCGGGCAGCGGAATCCAAGGCCGCCTAAGCTGAAGTCCCGGGATGTGCAGATCACTTGAGGCATCAGGCGTGTTTTTGGTGGTGTTTTTATGACGCCTTGCCCTAAACCCAAAACTTCCTTGAGCCTTAAAGCCCTGACACCCTAAATCCTAAAGCCCTGCAGCTTAATTCCGGGAGGGCTCTGACACCTCTTGTATCCTCTTGTGATAGTGTGTTTCCGGCAGGAGAATCGTGGAACAGCTGCCAATGTTCCATCGACGGAGAATGACCAAAGGGCGAAGACTGCAGACAGTGGACGCTATGCCTGCACTTGTCGGACTATCAGCGCTTTTTGGTCGCTGCATGCGTGGCCTAGTGTGACGAGTTTTCTCATACGAGGAATGAAATCTGCTGCAGCTTCAACGTCGAACTCGAATTCGTATTCCACTTTCATTGGTATGTCAGGCTCATGCCAATGACAAGGGAGCAGGGCAAGCAACGGTGTCCATGTTTGGCTGCAGGCAAGAAAGGACAGCGTGAGAGCAGAAGCGAGGTGCGGCTGTTCGTCATGTTTGGCCCAGTTTGGAATCGTCACCTTTCCATGCCAGGTTCGTTCTCATCCGCAACTCCGCGATGCAGGCTCCAGACTGTTTGCAGCACAAATTCTGAGTAATTAGGCCGAGCCCTTACACCCTGATCACACAAATCCTTACAAATCCTGATTCCGTGTCTGTCCCCGTCCCAGATGGGAGTTTCCGAAAATAGGGGACCCTAAAAAAGTACCCTAAATAGTAGGATCCTTATTATAAGGACCCCTAAATGAGGTACCCCTAATTTTCGGAAACTCCCAGATGTTCAGGTGGGCCGGAGAGGACAGTCTTTCCAGTTGACCACAACGGTGTTGCTTGGCTTCCTTGACGAAGCTGCACCGTCTTAAAGCGCGAGGGCTTTTTCGAGTTTCCTAAGCCATAAACCCTAAACCGTAGTGCTTCCTTCCTTGCATCCTAGGTACCTGATCTGGACAGGCAGGGGAGGGAGAGGGAGGGAAGGAGTGGGAGAGGGACCACACATGAACCAGATTGCTTAGTTGCAAGGCCAGGTAAGCCCGGAGCACGCCTTCGCCGGCGCCCAATGCCACTCGACTCAGTTCAGTAAAAAGCCATATTAAGGATCAACCTTCGTGCAATCTGTGCCCTGCTTCCGAGGAAGGGTGAAGAGGTTTTTCCGGAACGTGCCGGCCTTGGCAGACGAGCCAAACGAACTGAAGAAGCAAGTTTGCGACGGGTTGCTTGAAGGCCGTCGAACCGATGCGCGTCTCCATCGAAGGCATTTAGGGTTGCATGCTCAGGGGCAGGTATGGAGTGATAGAGAGATCGGCACTCACCTGCAGGAACATCATCCGAGCCTATGGCTGACCATTGCGTGAAGCCTTGCGCTCCCCGAATTCGTGCAGGGACTCGATCACTCCTCAAGGGATGGCTTTAAAATAAGAACCTTGAAAGCCACCCCCGAAACCTCCTAACCTGAACCCTCAACCCTGAGTTCCCAAAAGCAGACCCTGAACCCTTAACCCCGAAACACCCAGTTCCCAACAGCCAGTTCCCACCCTCAGAGCCCCCTTTGAGCCCCCAAAGCCCAGCCAGGGAGCCCCTAAACCCAAAACCCCGGGCGCCAAAACCCAAAAGATTCAAACCCCCCAAAGCCTCTACCCGAAACCCTAAACCCCTGAACCCTAAACCCCTAAACCCTAAACCCCAAACCCTGAAACCTCAGAGAAGCCTCGAGTGCAGGCTTACAGGCTTTCTACCGGGGTGTGGAAAGGGTCTTCAAGGTTTGGGTGTCTTGGGGCTTACTGTAGGGTTTTACGTTTAGGATTGAGGGTTGCGTTTTAGTGTTGTGTCGTTTAGGGCAACTCAACATCTTCTTTTCGGAGGATAGCCGGGATCGACATAGGCCCCTGATCGACAACCGTATCTCTTTCAGGACATGGATTTTCGGATCTTATGGACCTTTGCGCAGTTCAACTCTGAGCGAGATGCCGGTGGATCCTTCTTTCGCTCGGCCAGGAGAATCAAGTTTGGCGTCATGCATTTGCTGGATAAATCAGTTGGTAAGGGTCAACTCACATGGGATTTAGGGCGACAAGGGTTTTCCAAGGTTTGTATGTCGGTTCACACGGGGTTTAAAAAGGGCTTTGAGCTCAGGGCTTATAGAATGAAACACCAACTTCTAGGGCAAAATCTTGCTTCAGGGACGATTATCATCATCGTTCCTTTAATGGTTATAGTAAGATCCCAATATGATTTCAGGTACATTCCTTAATGAAGAGATGTTGGAGTTTCTGTGGCATGCGAGCCATGGGTGTTTCCACGGCCGCCTGCTGAAGGTGGGGAGGGGCTCTGCTCCTTTTTGGAGCGGGTTGTAGGCTTTTAAAGGGTTTAGGGTTTCCGGGTTTTAGGGTTTAGCATTTTAGGGTCCAGGGTTCAGGGCTGGCTTGGGGAGTGACGGACTGATGTGTGTGTGAAGTACATGTCACTTCGGCATGGCATCAGTTGCTCCATGTTGGCGACCTCGCGTTCGCGAGCATGCCTGTCCCACAGCTTTGGCTTCATGGCTCCCCCTTATAGAAGCCCTCGCAGAACCGTAATAGTAACCCTTGTAGTTGCCCTTACGGTTATCTTGAAAGTGCCCTCATAGTACTTAACCGTTATAGCAGCCCTCTATGGAAACCTTGGTAGTAGCACTTACAGTAACCAGTATAGAAGCCTATTCGTACGGACCCTTTTATAGGAAAGCCATGAAAGAACCCTCATATAACACTTAAGGGCGTACACTTCGAAGCCATGGCCGCAGGGATTCTTAGCTGGGACCTTTTTTCGACCTGCACGCGTGAAGCTACCGATGAGTTGCGGCAGGAGCTGAGGGAGCTAAGAGGCCTGAAAGCGGCCTTGCAAAAAGACCGGCGAGAGGTTCGAAGGCTTACAAAGGCCTTACTCAGGCGTTCGCGGCCTGCCGAAGTAACCGTTCGCTTCCCAAGGGCACGAGCAAACCGGCAAGTAGACATGGAAGGCAAAGCAAATCCTAACTCCAAGGGAAGGAGCATCACCGCCAGTACGTTGAGCGATGGATGCACGCCGACCCCGGAACCCGTCTCCCCTCGGAGCATCGACGTGGCTGTTGCACAGAACATCCAAGCAGAGCCCGATTGTGAACAGAGCCCGATGCGCCATCGCAGCCATCCGGAGGCCGGGGCTGGCATGTTTTTCGTTTTCTGGGTCCTGGTTTTCTCGACGTCTTGATTTTCACTGTTTCAGGGTTTGCGTGTTGCTGAGAGTAAAATCATAACTCTTGTTTTGGGATCACTCTTGCTGTTCATCCAGTTTTGATTGCACTGGGTCTTGTGATGATTGTTGCTGATTTGCTTTGCGGTATTGGATGTCCATCTACTAGGAGGCAGCCCTCAGCGATGATAGCACTACGTACCTTCATTCTTCGGGTGCTCGATGTCGTCTTCGCTTGCTCATATCTTCATTGGATCTCGTTTCTTACCATGACAACAATGGAGAGACTGCAATGTTGTACATGTTTGCGAAGAGTTTGTTGGACAACAGAAAGAGATGCTGCTACCACAAGTATGAACACTACCACTACCCCTACCGACACGGCAACTGCTGCTTCTACCCCTGCTGCTGTTACTACTGCTAACCCTAAACCCCAAACCCTAAACCCTAAAACCTTAAACCCCTTAACCACTAAACCTCCAACCCTAAACCCTGAACCCTGACTACCACTCAGAGGAGTCCGGAAGAGAAGAAGACCAGGCCACACATCTCAGGGCCGGTGCAGGCTGCGGCGGCTCTAAGAAGTGGTTGGTAGTAGTGATGGAATGGTCAAAGTCATAGTCGCAGTCATAGTCACAGTAATGGTAATGGTAATAGTAATGGCAATGGAAAAAGTAAGAGTACGAATAAGAGTAAGAGTAAGAGTAGTAGCAAGAGCAGTAGCAGTAGCAGTCGCAGTAGCAGTAGCAATAGCAATAGCAATAGCAATAGCAATAGCAATAGCAATAGCAATAGCAACAGCAGTAGCAATAGTAGTAGTAGCAGTAGTAGCAGCAGTAATAGTAACAGTAGCAGTAGCAGTAGCAGTAGCAGTAGCAGTAGCAGTAGCAGTAGGAGGAGGAGTAGTAGTAGTAGCAGCAGTAGTAGTAGTAGTAGTCGTAGTCGTAGTCGTAGTCGTAGTAGTCGTAGTCGTCGTCGTAGTAGTAGTAGTAGTAGTAATAGCAGTAGCACTAGCACTTGCAATAGCAATAGCAGTAGCACTAGCAATACTAATCGCAATATCAATAGCATTAGCAATAGTAGTAATAGTAGCAGTAGTAAGAGGAGGAGGAGGGAGAGGAGCAGGGGAGAGGAGCAGTCGCGGTAGCAGTAGAAGTAGGAGTAGGAGTACCAGGATTTGCACCAGTAGCTAGTCTTAGGTTTGGCATTAGCAATGGTACTAGCTTAAGTAAGTATTGGTGTTAGTATGAGCATTAGTTGTAGTACATGAATCCTTCTCGTGCTACTGGATTTGTAGCATACATTGCATACTTTCGATGCCGCAGGCCGCAGCGGTCCTTTGATGCTTCGCCTGGGAGATGTTCGCGGCGATGGTGGTGACCGCGACAAGGATCGCCAAAGCGATCATGATCGTGAAGCTGCTCGACGCCACAGTGATCGTATGCACGCACCGGAGCAGCAATTAGTGGCGTTATGTTTGAATGGGCTTCCATGGCACTGATTTTAAGTCCACAGTTCCAGACCTTCACCCAGCCGACAAGAGTTCGAGTTCAAACAGGCGCAAATGGTAAGCCTCCTACTAGTAATCACCATAGTCTAATCGGAGTCGTCTTAGTATTGGTGCAGCTGACCAGCTCTTCCATCCAAAAGGGATCGCAGCAATAATAGTCACTTGCGAGGCTTGCTTTGATTTTCAGGCTGGTTGGAGGATTTTCAGCTCAAGCCCTTGCAGTTGCAGCATGCGATTGTTTTCTTGCTGCTGCTGCTCTCCCCTTCAGGATGTCACGCAGCTCAACTCTAGTGGTTCTGCGGAGCCAGGCTGCCAGAGGGGTCTAGGAATGGATTCTACATGCATCAGCTGCGCCGTCATCCTGCTGATCGTGAGCAGCATGGTCCTGCTTGCCCTGGAGGCGGACTCCTGCGCGCGCTACGGCCTGCACGATGTTCCCGACTTCTTTGTGTGGGCGAATCTTGTCGTGTTCCTTCTCTTCACCCTTGAGATGGGTGTCAGGTTGCTCAAATCTCCACGCCCAGACGTGCTCTTAGTCTCGGACCTGGTGGTGATCTGCATGCAGGGAGTGGATGTTGGCGTCTCTATGGTAGCCAGGCTCGCAGCTGGGAGCGAGGTTCATGCCACGGCCTACTTGCGCATCGCCCAGTACCTGCGCTGGTTTCGCATCGTGCGCTGCCTGCGATTCATCCCCGCCTTCGCAAGCATGAAGGCAGGCGCTTTCTTGGACTTGAAAAGCTGTCCTCCGTGCCCCCTTGTGTAATCATGGACAGGTGCAGATGGACCTCATCAAAGGGGCCGTGGTACCCCTCCTGTCGGCAGTGTTCGTGCTGTTCTTCTCGATCTCCACCGTCGCCACTTTGGTAACCGCAGTGGTTGCAGACGCTTGTAGGCAGCAGCCGGACGTGGTCGAGTCCTGCGGGGAGCACTTCGAATCGATTTGGGAGAGCATGTACAACGTCTTCATGGGAACTTTCGGGGGCCTTGACTTTGATGACCTAGTGAGGCCAATTCGATCCGTCAGTCCCCTCGCCTGCATCATCATCAGTGTGTATATGACTCTGATCTATTTGATGATGATGACGGTGTTGACGGCTCACCTATGTCAAAAAGCCGTGGAGACAGCCAGCGCAGACCAGGTGGAAGGCCGGCTTAAGCGACTCTTCCGGGAGATACTCGGTCCTTGTTAAGGAATTTAGTTTCTGGTTCTTCTAGTGAGGAAGTCGCCATAGCAGCCTAAAGAGCATCCTACACCTCTTCAACCCTTACAAAACAAGAACAAGAGCCCAGGATAACGAATGGAAGAAATCGGATCAGCCTGGACCGGTTCACGGAAGCCCTCAAAGATTGCAGGCGAGATTGGTGTTCAGGGAACTGATGACGGTGCTGAAGATAGTGCTGATGAGCATGAGGAGGATGACGGATGTGGTGTTGAATCACGACGGTGAAAGGGACGAACACGAAGATTCTGCTGCTGATGCTGATGCTGATGTAGATCGTGATGCTTATGATGGCGAGGAAATGGACGAACCCATGGTGTTGCTTTGCAGCATTGCAAAGCACCCTGTAGAGTTCGTAGGCCGTGGGCTTCGAGTTGTGCTGTTTTTCAGAGGATCAAAGAGCTCTTCGAGCAGCTGGACATTTCGACGGAGGATGTCCGGAAGCGGGCTCGCCGTCTCTTTAAGCTGATCGACGAGAACCTAGGTGTTGATTTAAGCTACCCTGATAAGGAAACCCTATGATGTTGCTGTAGATCCGCCTATCATCACAAGAACTGAGCTATCATATTCAGGATGCCCTACTAGTTACTCAAAGTCCCTCTTTTGGTAGCTTCAAGAGCCCAGGAACCAGGACAAGGATGTGGAGGAGAGGGAGTTTATCCATGGCATCATGCGACTGCGGGGTCCCGCGAAGAATCTGAAGCTTTGGGAAGTGCACCCGGGCCCGGATTGAAGTTACCATGATAGGAATCTTTAGCAAACAATGGGGGGTTCCTGATTATGGTAACTTAGTTCCTGTTATAACGGATCATCGCAAACAATCTGATTTCCTTCTTAGGGTGACTTGGTTGAATTCCTCAGCGATAAACCCTTACAGGACCTGCATAGAGCCTTCAAAGAAATTCTGCAATTATGGTAGCTGAAACCAGCTCCTTAACAAGAGCCCAGGCAGTGGGAGATGCAGAGTGAACTGTCTCGGATTCGGCATGACCAAAGCCAGATCCGGCTAGAACAGAGCGAGACCCGCAAGATCTTGGAAAGAGAGTTCCGTAGGATTTTGGAGAGATCTTGACCTATGACCCTCAAGCCCTAAACCCGAAACCCTAAATCCCGAACCCCAGCGCCCCCCCTCTCTGCCGGCTGATGTGGAGTCACGAGTGCTTCACTTCCAGCTGCAGCTCTGTAGGCCGTTTAGCCTACTTATAAGCCAGGCCAGAAGGCTCCAATGGTCGGAGCTCCGACCCGTTCCCTGTTTCGAACCTCTGGGGCGGCTTCCCAAAAGGTGTGCGGCTCGGAAGGTAACGTGGCGCGAAGGCCATGTTCGCAGACTCGCATTTCAACTTCCCAGAGCAGGCCCTAAATCCTTAGCCCAGAAGTTGCTCATACTGTTGATGGACAAGATCCTGCATGACCCTAAGGACTCTAAACTATGGGAACTATGCTATATTCCTTATAATGGGTGATGCAGGATTTTGTCCATCAACAGTAGTATCTTGCCTTTCCTAGAAGTGCTACTGCTAAAACCCTAAGGCCCAGAGCACGGTAATGAGACGGCGGATCGCAGCTTACAGTTCACACCCTTTATATGAGCATGAGAACTCTTCTTGTTCGTCTTCTTATTGCTGTTATGATTATTACTACGATTACTGTTGTTGGTAATACTATTGATATTGATCTTCTTACTCTTATTACTACCAAAAATCTAGCATATTTTGAAGGTTAGTGTGCTGTCAGCCATGCCCACATCTCAGCCTGACCTAAGCCAACTCGTGTAGGATTTAGTTTACGGGTTAGAGTTTAGGGTTTAGGGTTTACGATGACAGTAAGAATGGGAGTCTTCAGTTGAAATGGTACGTGGTCTGGATTTAGTTTTGTGTACATATGCTGACAGTGGGCGCAACTGTCTGGCCAAGCGGTGTAAAAAGGCCTTGCGTCATGTGACAGTGCGGTCATAACGTCAGTACTCATCCGATCGTGAGCCCGGTTCTCTGTCGCCTTCAACCAAATAGCAAAAGTGAGGTGACAAACAGCTGAGGATGAGGGAGAGTAGGGGGAAGCAGCGGCAGTGGCGAGGCGATAGATTATGACGATTGTGACGCTGATTCGGTTTAGAGCCTGGCAATTGAGAGATCCGCACTCTGCAGGAACATCATCTGCGCCTATGGCTGAGCATGGCGCTCCCGAAGTCGTGCTGGGACTCGACCACCCCTCAAGCGATGGCTTCAAAAAGGGGGGGGGGTCTTGAGAGCGAACCCCAACACCCCTAAACCCTAAACCTGAACCAAACAGGGCCCAACACCCTGAACCTTCAATTCCCAAAAGCAAACCCTAAACCCTGAACCCCAAACCCTGAACCCAAAACCCTAAACCCTAGGCCATAAACCCTGAACCGAAACCCTGAGACCCCCTGTTCCCAAAAGCCCCAAAACACCTGAATTCAATTTTCGGAGCCAAGGAGATGACCAGCAAAAGCCTTAAGCCCTTATAAACCCCTAAATCCATAAAACCTCAACCCTCAACCCCAAAACCCCTAAATCCTTAAATCCCTAAACCCTCAACCCCTAAACCTTAAACCCCCAAATCCCTAAACCCATCTAAACCCTTAACCTTAAACCCCTAAATCCCTAAACCCCAAAGCTAGTGTTGAAGCCTCCAGCGGCTGCTGTCCTCGCCTCTCTGGGGGCCTGGCTGGGTTCTCTGTTGCAGGCTTACAGGCGTTCTACTGGGATGTTGAAAGGGTCATTTAGGGTCATTTAGGGATTTAGGGTTTAGGGTCTTAGGTTTCGGATTTAGGGTTGCGCTTCAGGGTTGTGTTGTCTTGGGCAACTCAGGAATCTTCATTTCGGAGGATAGAGCGTTCAATGCAAGCCCTTGATCTTAAACCGACTCTCTTGCAGGACAGGGTTGTTCGGATCTTATGTACCTTCATCGCGGTCCTTCTTGTGAAGGGGGGGGTTCTTTCAGGGGAATACATTGGGCCGTCGTTCCACTCTGAGCGAGATTCCGGCGGATGCCCCTTTCGCTCGGTCAGGAGAATCAAGTTTGGTGTCATGCCTTTGATAACTAATTGAGTCGCTTGCTGCAGGAGTGATGATGACAATCGTCCCGAAACAAGATCTTTGCCTCGGAAATGTTGTTTCGTTCCATAGGCCCGGAGCTCGAACCCCCTGGTAAACCCCGTGCAAGCTGCAATACAACCCTTGCAGAACCCTAGCCCCAAGCCCTGAATCTCGTGTGAGTTGCTTTCTGTGGTCCCGGAGACTCCAATATTATTTAGTTAAGGAATATACCGTAGACTATAGTATATTTCCTAGTAGGGTACATTCCTGAATTAAGGGATATTGGAGTCTCTGTGGCGTGCGAGCCATGGCTGTTTCCAGGGCCGCTGGCTGAAGGTGGGAGGGCTCTGCTCCCTCAGAGTCGGTTTTAGGTTTTAACAGGTTTAGGGCCTAGAGTTTACGGGTTTTAGGGTGTACGGGTTTACGGGTTTTGGGGGCTTTAGTCGCATTTTAGGGTTTAGGGTTTAGAGCCCGGAACCCAGGGCTGAGGGCGTGTCGGACTGATGCGTGGAATGCATGTCACTTTGGCGTTGCTCCATGTGTCCGGGGCTTTCCCTGGCGACCTCTTGGCTTCCAGGCTCATTTGCAAAGCCTTGACAGCACTTAAGCGTGCACTCTTCGAAGCCATGGACGCAGCGATTCTTAGCTGCACGCGTGAAGAGTTGCGGCAGGAGCTGAGGAGGGAGTTCAGAGGCCTGAAAGCGGCCTTGCAAAAAGACCGGCGAGAAGTTCAACGTCTTACAAGGGCCACAAGGGCCTTGCTCAAAGAGAAAGCAAACTCCACAGCCAGCACAGAGAGCGATGGATGCATGCCGAAGCCAGAACTTATCTTCCCGCAGAGCATCCACGTGGAGCCAGCCCCTGAAGAGAGCCCGACACACAGCCCTCCGGAGGCCCGGGCTGGTCGTCATTTTCTTGGTCGTGCTTTCTCTACGTCGTTGTGTTTCATGCTCTTCGTGTTTCTGAGAGTAAAAGTGAAAAGTGTGACTCTTGTTTTGCGACCGCTCTTGCCGTGGATCCAGTTTTGATTGCAGTAGGTCATGTGATGATCGTTGCTGACTTGCTTTGCGTTGGGGGTGTTCTCTACCATCATTTGTAGGCCTCTACTATGACAGAAACCCTGGCGACTCCGTGCCGGCAACGGGGCTTACAACAGAAACTGTAACGGAACGTGGTGGAGCTGTGACGGATTTGTCGCGGAGCTGTAACGGACCTGTAAAGCAGCTGTAGCGGACCTGCTACGGAGCTGTAACGGAAGCTGTAACGGAGCGGGAACTGAGGGCCCAGGGTGGGTAGCGCAAATCCCATAGTAAATGATGGTCGAGACCCCCAAGCTTTGCGGTGTCGGATCTCCAGCTAATACAAGGCAGGTCGCACGACTACTGCGACATCTACCACCACTGCTACTTCGCAAGTTTGTGCAGAAGAGTCCATGGAAAGAGAAGGAGAAGACCAGGCTGCGCATGATCGCGACGCTGCTCGCCGCCACAGTGATTGTATTCACACATTGGAGCAGCAGTTAGTGTTTGCATGTTTGCATTAATTTCCATGGCATTTTTTATTTAGGTGATAGTCCAGTCCTTGGTAAGCCTCCTACTCGTAAGCAGTGTGGCCTAGCTGCCCGGGAAATGGGGTTTGGCGTCTTAACAGCACGGCAGACTTCAGGGAAGGGGGGCAGCTCTCAGGGCTGCGTGTCGGTTGGGTAGAGTTGGGAACCTTTCACCTTTTTTGGGTAGTATAGTCCCTATATAATCTCTAACTTCCCCATTTTTGGGTAGTATAGTCCCTATATAATCTCTATAACTTCCCCTTGCTACTCGGTCGTTGCTTCGGGAGCGCTGGGGAGTCAGGTTGCCCTGACAGCGACTGACACGCTTGCAGAGAGGTGGGATTTGCACCATTTATTATTATTATTATTATTATTGTTGTTATTATTATATACTATTGTTATTGTTATTGTTATTGTTATTATTATTATTGTTATTATTATTATTGTTATTATTGTTATTATTGTTATTATTATTATTATTATTATTATTGTTGTTATTATTATATACTATTGTTATTGTTATTGTTATTGTTATTATTATTATTATTATTATTATTGTTATTATTATTATTGTTATTATTGTTATTATTATTATTATTATTATTGTTGTTATTATTATATACTATTGTTATTGTTATTGTTATTGTTATTATTATTGTTATTATTATTATTGTTATTATTGTTATTATTGTTATTATTATTATTGTTGTTATTATTATATACTATTGTTATTGTTATTGTTATTGTTATTATTATTATTATTGTTATTATTATTATTGTTATTATTGTTATTATTGTTATTATTATTAACATTGTTTATTATTATATACTATGTTGTTATTGTTATTGTTTATTATAATTGTTTTATTATTATTGTTCATTATTGTTATTATTGTTATTTTATTATTATTGTTTTATTATTATATACTTGTTATTGTTATTGTTATTGTTTTATTATTATTATTGTTATTATTCTTATTGTTATTATTGTTATTTATTGTTATTATTATATTATTGTTGTTATTATTTATATACATTGTTATTGTTATTGTTTATTAATTATTAATATTTGTTATTTATTATTTGTTATCTTATTGTATTAATTGTTTTTATTATATTATTATTACATTGTTGTTATTATTATATGTATTGTTTATTGTTATTGTTATTGTTATTATTATTGTATTATTAATTATTGTTATTATTGTTATTCTTGTTATTATTTTATCTATTGTTGTTATTTTATATAACTATTGTTATTGTTATTGGTTATTATTATTATTATTGTTATTATTATTATTGTTATTATTGTTATATTGTTATTATTATTACTATTGTTGTTATTATTATATACTTATTGTTATTGTTATTGTTATTGTTATTATTATTATTATTGTTATATTATTATTGTTATTATTGTTATGTTATTGTTATTATTATTATGATTGTTGTTATTATTATATTACTATTGTTATTTTATTGTTATTGTTATTGATTATTTATTATTATTGTTATTTATTATTAATTGTTATTATGGTTATTGGATTACTTATTGTATGTTATTGTGTTATTGTATTATTATATTATTGTTATTATTATTATTGTATTATTATTGTTGTATTGTATTGTTATTATATATTATGTTATTGTTATTGTTATTATTATTATTGTTATTATTATTATTGTTATTATTGTTATTATTGTTATTATTATTATTATTATTGTTATTATTATTATATACTATTGTTATTGTTATTGTTATTGTTATTGTTATTGTTATTGTTATTATTATTATTATTGTTATTATTATTATTATTGTTATTGTTATTGTTATTATTATTATTGTTATTATTATTGTTATTATTGTTATTATTGTTATTATTGTTATTATTATTATTATTGTTATTATTGTTATTCTTGTTACTATTATTATTATTATTATTGTTATTATTATTATTGTTATTATTGTTATTATTGTTATTATTGTTATTATTATTATTGTTATTATTATTATTATGACTATTATTAAAGTGTGAGGGGCTCGGTCCTGAAGTAAGCCGTTTCCGGCTTCGTGACCTTTTTTTTCGACAGAGCGGCGGACTACTTTCAGTGTTGTGGTGTCGGAAGGCAGGGTTTCCTGTCCCAGGATGCGAAGCCGTCGACCGAGATGTCTGCGCAAGAGGCTCCCGGCCCGGGAACCAGGTTTGCTTACTGGCGCAGCTGCCCAGTTCTTCCATTCAAGAGGGATCGCAACAATGAAAGTCAGATGCGATGATTTGTTTGATTTTCCTGCTTCTCGAAGGACTTTTTGAGCTTCAGCTGTTATTATTATGATTACTGCCAATGTTTATTTGTACTAGTATTGCTATTCTTACTGTGTAGTTGCAGGTTGCGCGTCCCTTCAGGCTGTCACGCCGCGCTACTCAAGTGACTCTTCGGAGCCCAACTGCCAGAAGTGGCCAGGAAAGAGATGTGAATGCGCCGCCAACTGTGCGGTCATCCTCCTGATCGTGAGCAGTATGGTCCTGCTTGCCGCGGAGGCGGACTCCTCGCACGATGTTCCGGACGACTTTGTGTGGGCGAATCTGGTCGTGTCCATTCTCTTCACCCTCGAGCTGATTGTCAGGCTGGTCAGGCCATGCTGCGAGTGTCGGTGCCCAGACATGCTCTGGTTCATGGACCTGGTGGTGATCTGCACGCAGGGAATAGATGTTCTCGTCACGTTGAGAGCTCGTGAGGCTAAGAGCGAGAATCATGCCACGGCCGACCTGCGCCGCATCGCCCAGAACCTGCGCTGGTGTCGCATCGTGCGCTGCCTGCGGGTCATCCCCCTCTTCACAACCATGAAGGCCGGCGCTTTCTGGAACTTGAAAAAGCTGTGCCCTTTGTGCCCTTTGTGTACTCATGTAATTGGCAGGTGCAGATGGACCGCTTCAACGGGGCCCTGTGGCCTCTAGTGTTCTATCTCCTCGTGCTGGTCTTATCCATCACCACTGTCGCCACTATGACAAGGGCGGTGGTTGGAGAGGCTTGTTCGGACGTGGAGTCCTGCGGGGAGCACTTCGAATCGATTTGGGAGAGCATGTACAACGTCTTCATGGGAACTTTCGGGGGCCTTGACTTTTATGACCTAGTCACGCCACTTTGGGACGTCAGTGGCGCGGCCTGCGTCATCCTGTGTCTGTACATGTTCCTGATCTATTTGGTGAAGACGGTGTTGACGGCTCACCTGTGTCAAAAATTTGTGGAGACAGCCAGTGCAGATCAGGTGGAAGAGCGACGTGAACAACTCTGGAACAAGATATTCGGCCCTTGTTCAGGAAGTCAGTTAGTGGTGAGGACATCGTCATTACATGCTGTAGGGTCTCTTGTACCTGTTAACCCCCGCATGAAGTAAGAACACGAGCCCAGGATAACAGGTGGGAGTGATAGCATCAGCCTGGACCTGTTCAAGAAGGCCCTCGAAGATCGCAGGCGAGATCGGTGCTTTCTTGCCTTTGTTTTGAAATGATGGAAAGGCAAACTCATGATGGTGCTGGTGCTGATGTTGATATGATGAGGATGAAGATGACAGATTTGATGTTGAATGGGTGATGCTGACGATGGTGACAGAGACGAACTCGCTGATGCTGATGCTGATCGTGATGCTGATGCTGATGACCACGATGGTGCCGTAAGTGGACGAGCTTGTGGTGTTGATTTGCAGTGTGGTAAAGCACTCCGTAGGATTGATTGATGGGATTTGTTTGGTGCGGTTTTCTTCTGGTCTCAGATGGATCAAGGAGCTGTCCGAGCAGCTTGGCACTTCGACGGAGGACGTCCGCAAGGGAGCTCACCATCTCTTAAAACTGATGGACAGGAACCTGGATGAAAATTTAAGCTACCCTAATGTGTATACCTTTACCAAGAACTAAGCTACCATACTAAGGCTACCCTATGATGTGCTGCAAATCCCTCTTATGGTAACTTCTTGAACTAAGCTATCATACTAAGTACACCCTATCAACGACTTAAAGTATTTTCACAAGAAAAGCTATCATACTAAGGACACCCTATTACTTGCTTGAAGAATCCCTACTATGGTAAGTTCAAGAACCCAGGGACCAGGACAAGGTCCTGACGAAGCGAGAGCTCATCTGCGGCCTGATGCGACTGGGCGGTCCGGCGAAGAATCTGGAGCTGCGGCTGGGCTCTGAATGTAAGTTAGTTGCTCTGATAGGGACCTATGGCAAATTTAGTTCTTGTTAAGGGATCATAGCAAATAATCTGGTTCCTTTTTTGGCTAGCTTGGTTAACTTCCTCAAGTCTAAACCCGTGCAAAATCCTTATTTAATTTTTTGCCCTAACAATATGGCACGTGAAATTGAGTTCGTTAACAAAAAGCCCAGGCAGTGGGAGATGCAAGAGATCCGTAAGATCCTCCTTCTGCTCTGCAGTGGCAAGAGCAGGCATCGACGCAGGGCCAGGTGCCAACGGGCGGCACAGGGCCGGATGCGCTGTTGCAAGAGTTCTCGGCCCAAAGGTTCCAGGATTCTCTGCACTGATTACAAAGAATCCGCTATATCGCTTTAGCTCTCCAGGCCGCTTAGCCTGTCGGAGCTCGTTTCCCGGGAGCCCGCTCCACCTGGTGTGCGGCCCGCCCGGATAGTTTCAAGCCGCGTGACTCGCGTGAACAGGCCCTAAACTCTCAACACCACACTCTAACCCAGGAACTGCTCATAGTGCTTACGCTCTTCTAGAAGTGTTATTATAAGGACTTGTACCTAAACCCCCAAAAGTAGGTAGAAGTACCGCTCAAAACCTATACAGGGGCTATTATTCTACATACTGTTGGTAGTCGAGGGTGAAGCCCTGAGGCCTAAAGCTGACCTCAGCTAATACGTGCAGAGTTTAGTGAACGTCAGAACGAGACGCTTTAGATGAGACTGCGGACGCATGGACGCAACTTGTGCAAAAAGGCTTTTGCTTCAAGTGGCAGTGCTGTATTGCGATGCTGATTCGGTTTAGCTCCTGGCAAAGGCAATTTCGCCAGCACTCGTCGATAATCGTACTGTTGGCAGTAGTGGCAATGCTGTGCAGGTCAGACGCCGCCAGCCTGATTCTCAAAGCGTGGCGTGGGGAAGCAAAGCGGGCTCGAAGTGGTCTTTGAGGGCTCAGCGCCGCGGAAAATGCCTAAACTCGCTTCCGTTCCATGTGGGCGGCGCCTCAGGTCAGAAGTCACCGCCCGAGAACGAGCTGTGCTGAGGTGCCGGCTGGGATCCCGGGAGGATTTTCGAACTTAGAGAAACCGTGTGGATGCGCTGTCATGGGGTTGTATGTTCTTGGGGCATAACGCGGCCGGAACCAAAACCCAAAGCCTGAAGCCCGCCCAGACAGGGCACGCCACAAACCCCTATGCCCAAAGTATCACAGCCGAGGGGTCGCAACGTTAGAAAACTCTGAGAGAGCCAGGCCACGTCTTTACCGCGACAGGGCTCAAAACGAGCCTGGCCGGTTCCCTGCCTTGTGAAGCAATGCACGGCCGGCCCCGCGTCTACGTGCGGTTTCGGCCTCCGACGGAGGCCAAAGAAGCACCGCTCCAACGGGGTAGAAACCTTAAAATTACTAGGTAGGCCCTTCGGACATTGTATATTTCCCCTTATTGCGGTTAACAGGATCTTGTTTACGAATATTGTTCAGAGGCTTTGAGGGGCCAACCTATATTAGAACTATACTTGAAAGCTGCTTCAATTCGGAAACCCTCAAACCCCAAACCCTTCAACCCTCAGCCGAAGAAATGCCTCCAGCTGCCTAAGCCCTTACGCCCCAAACCCAAATCCCATGTCCCTTTTCCGGGGGCCCCCTGAGCCCTAAAGCTGCTTATAGTGGCCCAAGCCCTCAAATCCTAACCCTAAATCCCATGTCCTTTTTTGGACCCTAAACCCTAAACCCTAACCGCCCCCTTTAGAAGGAGCCCCTGGTAAGGTGAAGCTTCCGGCGCTGAAGGGGCCGGGCATCCCGACGAGCGACACCGAGGTGCCTGTACTTCTCGGGCGCCGCCGCGACCAGGAGGAGCCAAACAAAGGTTTAGGGTTTAGAGGTTTAGGGTTTAGCGTTTAGGGTTTAGCCCTACCCACTTGGGTGGTTGTCAAAGTTAGGGTCCTTTTTTTGGGTACCCTAAATAGTAGGGTGCCGCAATATCCCAAAAAGGGACCATACTTTTGACAACCACCCACTTGTGAAGGAATTTAGTGTAAGTTACCATTATAGGCATCTCTAGTAAATAGTATGGTTTCCTTATTATTGTAAACGAAGTCCCTTAACAAGAACCCAGAACCCAGCCTAGCCGCAGACCCGAAACAGCAAAGCCCAAAGTCTAAACTCTAAACCCTAAAAGAGAGCTGGACATGCTGTTTTTTTCTGAAACCCTAATCCTTAAACCCTACGCCCAAAACAGAAAAATCCTAAACCCTAAACTTCAAACCCCAGACCCAAAATGCCCTAAATCTAAACACATCAGGAGGAGCCCGCGTCCCGACGGATCAGCCTCGAAGGGGAGCACACCATCAAGTTCCCCTGGAAGTCCCAAAGCAAGGAGGAGCGGGGCGGCCTAAAGCTTTCAGGGTTTAGTTGGGATTTGGGCTTCAGGGTTCAATGAGGTTTGGGTTTTGTGTTCAAGATGTAGCTAGGGTTCAGGGTTTAAGGAAGATTCATAGCTTAGGTTTAGAGTTTAAAGTCCAATTAGGGTTCAGGTTTAGGGTTTGGTCACGGTTTGGGGTTTAAGGTTTAATTACGGTTTGGGTTTAGCGTTTAGGGATTCGGGTTCATTTCGGGTTTAGGGTTCAGAGTTTAGTCAGGGTTTAAGGATTACGCTTCAACTAGGGTCTAGTTACGGTTTATGGGCTAGGATTCAAGCATCGTTTAGGTTCATGTTTAAGCAAGGTTTACGGATTAGGGTTCAATTTGGGTGCAGGTTTAGGGTTTAGTTAGGGTTAGGGTTTAAGTTCAATAAGGGTCCAGCTTTAGGATTTAGGTTTAGGGTTTAAGGTTCATTTAGAGTTTAGGTTTAGGGTTTAAGGATTCGGGTTCTCTTCGGGTTTAGGGTTCAGGGTTTAGTTGGGGTTTAAGGACTGCAGTAGAATTAGGGTTTAGTTACGGTTTAAGGATTAGGATTCAATTAGGTTTTGGGTGCAGGGATTTAGTAAGGGTTTAGGGATTCGGGTTCAGCAATAAGGGTCTAGCTTTAGGGTTCAGTTAGGATTTAGGGATTAGGGTGCAATTCGGGTTTGGGGTTCAGGGGTTAGGGTTCAATTAGGGTGTAAGTTTAGGGTTTATTTGGGGTTTAGGCATCAGGGTCCAATTAGGGTTTAGGTTTAGGGTTTACTCAGGGTTTAGGGTTCAATTCGGGTTTAGGCTTAGGGTTCAGTTAGGGTTTAGGGATTAGGGTTCAATTCGGGTTTCCGGTTAGTTTAGGGTTTAGGATTTAGTTAGGGTTTAGGGATCAGAGTTCAATTCGGGTTCAGGTGTAGGGTTGGGGTTTCGGTTTAGGGTTTAGTAAGGGTTTAGTGGTTAAGGTTGAATTAATTAGGGTTTAGGTTCAGGGGTTAGATATGGTTTAGGGTTAAATCTGGGTTTAGGTCCAGACGGCCCTGCACTGCATCTACAGCCATGCTGCATCTAAAGCCATGCTGCAGGGAGGGGTGCAAACTCTCTAAATCCTACGCCTTAAACTCCATTGAAAGCCATCCCGCACGGATTCTAAGCCCCTTAAACCCTCCACGAAACTCCATCTAAAGCACTCTTCGAGGAGTGGAAGGAGGTGCAGGTGCAGGTGGACCATGCCTTCACCGAAGACTCGTCACAGGATGCAGTCTATTCCAGGGTTGGACCTGAGATGCTGGAGGCTTTGCCTGTTTAGAGGTCAGGGCTTCGGGCTTACAGTAGAAGCCAGAAAGTTGGAATATCATTATCGTAAACCCCTTTAAGGTAAACTATAGGGGATCCTACCATTAATGCATATTCCAACTTTCTGGAGCTCCCTTTAGAGTTTTAAGGTGTCAGGGTGTTAGGGCCTGGGGTTTTAGGGCGTTGCGTCTAGGGTTTCAGGGCTGACGGTTTTAGAGCTTAGGGTTTCGGGTTTTAGGGTTTAGGGCTTTAGGGTTCTAGGGTTTGCGGTTTAAGTTGTAGGGTTTGAGTGTTGAGGAGTTGAGTTTCAGGTGCCGTTATCGGTTTATCGCAAATCACGCGCTTCTTTCGTCTTATGGTAACTTCAGTTCCACAACACCCCAAAATTTCCTTCAAGCATCCATAAGAAGCCTATACTGACTTCAATTTCATGTTTTTGACGAAAAACCCAACGCCCTAATCCTTGAACCCTAGGGCCTAGGACCTAGATCCCAGAAACTTGCAACCCCGAGATTCTAAACCCTGAACCCTTAAACCCTTGTAGAACTCTTGTAGGACCCTTAAAGATTTTTTTAAGCCCTTAAAGAGCTCTTGTGGAGCCCTTGTCGGGAACCTTCAAGTGTAGAGAACCGTAAAGAACCCTCAGGTACCCCAAAACTCTCGACCCTAAACCAAACAAACTCTAAACCCGAACCTCTAAACCCTATCTCTAAACCCTAAACCCTAAACCCTAAGCTCTTATTCCTAAGCCAGAAACTCGTAAACGCGCACTCTCAACCCTAAGCCCTTGTTCAGCCCTCAGCCCAGGATTTCGTCCTCAAGGGCTTCCGTGGGCTCATCTGCACCTACGGCATCACTGGGTCCGGGAAGAGTTACACCATGCCGGAAGCCCGGTGCAGGGAGGGTCTTTTCGGGGGGTGTAGGGAGGCTTTTCGGGCTTTAGGGGTTTAATGGGTTCAGGGTTCTGGGGGTTTAGGGCTTTGGGGGGTTTAGGGGTTGGGCGGTGTAGGGGTTTAGGTTCAATTAGGGCATTAGGGGTTTAGGGGTGAGAGACTGTTCGGGTTGAAAGCCCTGGACCCTAGCACCTCCACCTAAATCCCTGACCTATCCCTGACCTTGAATACCCCCAAACCTCAAACCCGTGAAAAGAAAAAGAGATGTTACTACTCTGACAAGTACAATAACTGCTTTCATTACCTGCTACAAATGTTCTATTCAGAGAGAATTAGCTACGACCATTACTAATTGCTATTCTTCCTACTTGTTACTACTGCTATCATTACAAGATTCCTGCAAGAGGATTTGAGCAAACCCCTAAACCCTACACGCCGAATCAAAAACCCTAAGCCCGCCATCCTAAATCCTATACCCCGAAAGCACAGAAACCCGAAAACCCGAAACCCCAAACCCTCAAACCACAAAGCCCTAGAGCAGAGTCTGAGTATTAAGGGACTCATAGCCCCACTTGTCACTACCCACGAGCCTCCAAGTAGGCCCTAAAATCTTACACCCTTATAGAAAATCTGTAGATCCCTTTGAAGGGACCCTTTAAGGAAGACATATAGCTACCCATGAAACCCCAAACCCCCAAACCCCCAAAACCCCCCTAAAACCCCTGTAACCCCAAGACCCCCCTAAATCCCCTAGACCCCCCTAAACCCCCCTGAACCCCCAAAACCCCCCTAAAGCCCCTATAACCCCTATAAAGCAGCGTCGGAGCTAAGGCTCGGGGAGCAAGGGGGCTCCGGCCTGGCCCAGCGTCTCATTGAGGAGTTTCTTGGGCCTTGGAAAAGTGGCGCTTTTTGGGGGCTTTTGGGGGTTTAGGCGTTTAGGGGTTTAGGGCTTTAGGATTCGGGGGTTTAGGGGTTTAGGCTTTAGGGCTTTTGGTGGTTTAGGGGTTTAGAGTTTAGGGGTTGGGGGTTTAATTACTACTTGCGGCGCTCCCTCGTTTTGCACTGGTGATGTGTTCGTCTTTGGTTTTTGTAGAACTTTGACAGGGATTTTTCGGTTTTGATAGGGTGTTTGATTGTAAGGATTTCTGCAAGGCCCTACAGGATTTTGATGGTCCTTCATTGGGTTTTCCATGGGTTTTCAAGTTTTTTTTGCCAGAAACCGAGGCTCTTCTTACGCGGGCTGCCGGACTTCTCGGTGAGTTTGCAGGCCGGATTCCGAAAATGGAGAGCCTTACATAGTACCCTAAATAGTAGGATCCCGATTATAAGGACACCAAAATAAGGCACCCCTATTTTCTAAAAGTCAGGAAGCAGACCCTGAACGCCAAAAGCCAACGCGAGGCAACGCCCTAGGAAAGCCACTGAAGGCCTTAGGGTTTCGGGTTTAGGGCTTTGGGTTTAGGGTTCCAGGGCTCTTTGTAAAAATCGCAAAGGCCGGAAGAGTCTCCCCTAACCCTAAGAATAGCTAGCAAGCGCGTACCATACCTTCCTTTCCCATGTTGGAAGCTTACGGCCTCTTCTGTGAAGACTCCTTAGAACGACAAAGACTTGACAAACAACCATCAAAATCAAAGCCGAAAGCCCTGAAGCACCCATCCCTCGCACTTCAAATCTTACGGAAATACTCAACAACCCTGCAGCCCCAGAAATCAAAAGCCCAAATCCTCAAGAACAAAGTTTTCTTGTTAACCCTTTTGGTAGCATGCACACTGTCTAATCTAGCCCAAAGCCCTAAAGCCTGGACACCAAACCCTAAACCCTAAACCGCTACGCCTCATCGAACCCCTGCATGCCCTCAACCCGCAACATGGGGGCCTAAATAGTTACCAATACTATCTTTTGGGAGGGTTCCTTATTATAACTATAGTATCATGATTAAGGCCCTAAACCCTAAACCCTCTAACTCCTCTCAACCCTAAACCCTAAACCCCTATCGAACCCCCTAAACTCACAGGACTCCTCTAGTACCCGTACCCGAAGGCCATCCAGCTCCACCAGAACGACTTCACCGACCTCGGGCTCCCGGAGCTGCTGGGCGCATTTTGTTTCTGAGGGAGTTTAGGGTTTCGGGGTGCTACCATAAAGAAAGGAAGAAAGAACAACAACATACATGTATGTATATATGTATATACATATACATATACATATACATATACATATACATATACATATACATATACATACATACATATACATACTTATATATATATGTAGATATTATGTTTACATATATATATATACACACACACATAGAGATGTATATGTGTACATATATACACATATGTATACATATGTCTGTGTATATACATAGATATGTTTATGTTGTTGAAACCTGATGAGATGGTACACATCCTTGGGAAGTTTCCCACAATATACCAATACTACTAGACATATCAAGATCACCAACACATGTCACGACAATCGATTATGAGTTCCATCATGAGATCCTGAACCACCCTGTACAGCCATCCAAGCCGCTTAATCAAGACGGGCCGACCTGAACCCTCGACCCCAAACGCCTGGCCCGATCACTACTATCCCTAAACCCACAACACGCTTGACAAGCTTGAATCCACCGACCCCTCAACCCCCAACAAATCCTGAGCCTTTACTACTCAAACCTAAAACCCCTCAAGCCCAAACCCCCCGAAAACCTCAGAAACAGAGACGCTCCGAGGATGCCGAGTCTGAAAGATCTCAAGGTCCAGAGCGGCAACGGCTCGGAAAATACCGGCGCCCAGGAGCTCTCCTGGCTCCTGAGAGAGGGCTTCCGTGGTCTCTTTGAGAGGGGGCTTGACAGAGGGTTTCATAGGGATTCTGAAATCCCTAAACTCCTAGGACCCTGGAGCCCCTAAACCCTAAAAGCCTAAAGGCTTAAGCCCGAATCCCAAACCTAAGCCTGCAACACCCCAAGCATTCGATAGAGCCGCCTTTCAAACCGTCGGAGGAGCAGATCAACACTAATTTAAACCCAAACGAGAATCACAGCAGCCTTATCAACACCAAGATACTCTTCTGAATCCCGAAACACCCCCCTGAATCCTTAAAGAGGACCTTAACACGCCACCCCTTGGGTTCGAAACCCTAAACTCCAAAACACTAAACCCCCAAACACCGTAAAGCCCCACAACTTTTAAACCCCGCACCCTCAAACCCTACACCCTAAAACCCCAAAGCCCTAAAGAGCACCGTTTTGGGAGGAGTTCAACATCCCAAGACAACTTTGAAAGCCCATAAAGTCTTTACAAAGCCCAAAACCCTGGGGGAGTAAACTCAACACGCAAAAAACCCTAAATCCTAAAGCACTAAACCTTAAACCCTAAAACCCAAAACCTTCAAACCCCAAAACCCTAAAACCCTAGACGCTAAAACCCCGAAAGTACACCCCCTTTGGAAAGGCCCAAAACCGTAAGACCCCAAACCCTAAAACCCTAAACCCTAAAGCCCTAAACCCCAACCCTCAAGACTAAAAGAAAACCCCAAACCCTAAAACCCTGAATCCTAAAGCCCTCTAAGAGCCCTTGAACCCTACACCCTTAAATCCTTAAAAGGGAACCCTACTATAGAACCCCCAGCCCTAAATCCCAAAGCCCTGCAACTTTAAACCCCGCTCCCTTAAACCCCAAAACCCTAAAGCCCCAAAAGCCCAAAGCCTTCAAACCCCAAAACCCTAAAGCCCTACAGATCCCTTAAAGGAACCCTTAGAGATCGGGACGTCCGGCTCGCAGCAGAGCGTGTGCTTCAGACGCGAGGCCTGGTACCAGACGGGTGTTTCCACATCACCCTCATGCACAACAACGCCATCCTAACGAACGACATCCAGCTCGCAGGCAGGCAGCTTTAGAGTCACGCCACGGCACAAGCAAGAGCACGCCGAATCTGTTGCAAGACATTCTCTCAACTGCGGGCAGGACCCGAACTTCTGCAGCGGACCCTGCCGCGAAGAGTGAGAGCCGGGCACAAAATGAGCCTTGCCGAATGGCAGTACCGGTGCCAGCTCACCGAGCTGTGACAGGCAAGACCCGTTCAAAACACAACGCAGCCTGCAGATCGCCCTGAGCTTTGACTCGGGAACCCTGGTCTTTCAAGCGCGCAAGGACTTGCACGCCGGCTCAGCTTTCGGCTGAAGCAACACAGCAAACCTCGCTTGAAAGTGACTCATAGCCAGCATGGTTTCGATGTCGAGCCATCGGAGCTGGCGCTGGAGCGCAGACAAGCCCGGCCGATGGGAGGCCAGAGCCAATGCATGCCGTTTCTCTTGCACGGTCGGTGCTGCGGTATGGCGCCACACAGGTGGGAGTCGTGCCGTGGAACCTCGACTATCCCGATTTCTTTGATGCCTTCCTGACAGACCTTCCAGAGCCGCGCGTCGGACTCCCATATTGACCATGTTTGACGACATGACACTTCGTTGTGTATGTTTCCGGTAGTCAGGCCCACACTTGGGAACGCCACGAAACGCACGAAGAGCACTACCTGTGCTACGAGCGGCTTCAACCAGGCACCATAAGATAACTATAATCCTGCAGACTTACTTCGCGGACATCAAGAGTGCATACTAGCGACAGGTATGCCGACGTACTATCACGGATGCCCTCTCCACTGCATCACGGGCATCCTGCGTTATGGCCTGCTGCCATCGAACGCGCACGACTTAATTTGCTTAGCCTGGAGTCACCACACCAACACCGAAGAAATGCCAAAGCTTGACTAACGCAGGTTGAAGGGCAACACGACTTCTGGCGGGCAGAGATCTACGTGACGCCGTCGCTTAAGACGGCGTGCTGGTATGCCACGCCGACGCGGTTGCTTGGCAGCGCAAGTGTCACGCAAGCGTCATTGTCAGAGCACCAGCAAGCAGCTTGTCAACGAGCAGCCTGCGCAGGTTGGGCCCCGTGCCGACGAATGGCTACCCTCCATACTGCCACGCAATACATGTCGTCCAACCCCGTCTTCAAGGCAAACGGACAACGATTCAGCACTAGTATTCTCCTTGATGCTCTTGTGACCGCGCATACATCTGACAGGCGATACTGCTGCCCAGCCTAGCAAGATCCGACAAAAGGGGGGCGAGCAGTAAGACGACCTGTGCATCCAAGGCGCAATGTCGACAGTGAGCCGCCTTGCACGCCACGTCCAGCACAAACCCAGCTTCCGTCCATCAGGATTAATCGTGCGTCGCGGTTGCCACTTGGCTGACCGGAGCGGCGTCCTGCACATCAACAGCCACGAGGCCACAGAACGAGCCTTGCTTTCAACCGTTACGCCTGCAAACGTTTCGACGCAGGACTTGACGAAGTTCTACCCGCCGGACTATGCCAGCTTCCGCTTGGCAGTGGAGAGCCATGGTGGCTTGACGAAAGAGACTGAAAGCCTCTCCGCATGTTGGTGTCTCCTCCAACCAAGGCTTAGATCGCACGCACAACGGCAACTACGAGTAGACAAAGGTCGCGATCTCAGTTAGGCAGCCCCTACTGTGGAACCAGCTGAAATGGCCTCTGCACGGCCACTCGTAGTGAAGTCCGAGTCTGTGTGTCTCGACCCTCGCCAAGGCCAGCCCGCTGCAAGCGTTGCGCGGAGCCGCCCGAGCCGACGAGAAGAGACAAAAAGAGCAACGAGAATTCGAGAAGCACTGCAGCCTCTCCAGACCGACGGCGTAACGCGCTAACAGCCCATGCAACAAACTCATGACACCAGTGCCGCAGAACATCCAGCTCGAGAGTCCATCTCCCAGCCCCACACCCTCGCCAACGTTCGACGAGGCGAGAGTGATTAAACAGATCTATCGAGTAAGCTAGAACCACGCGCCACCCCGAAAGCCGAGGACTGTCGCCAGATGGGTAACTCAACGTCAACGGCCGACGAACGCCAGACCGGCAGACCGTTCAGGCGACCACGACTGCCAGTACAGCAACGAGATCACAAATGAACCGTCCAGTAGACTCAGCAAACACGAAGCAGGTCAAACGGCGAGTGGTGGTGGTTCCACAGCGGCAACTGGTACCACTACACGGGCGTGTCTCAGCCGCAAGCAGGCAGCAGCACACACGCACTCAAACACACGCACACACAGACACACGCACATGCACAAGCTCTGCACAACAACGCCAAAGAGCGCCCCGGCGAATACCCGAGACCCAGAAAGGACCCGCAGCATCCCATCGCCACGCCAGGAACAGGTCTGCCACGGGGTCCGTGTGATGGGGTGGTGCCGGTGGTCGCGAGAAGACGGACTCGACTTCAACGTCCCCACCTTAGAAATTCCGACGCAGCCGAAGACAAGCATTCAAGCAACAACACCGAAACAACGACGACGCCGAGGACTTCTAGGCTGGAATGAAGCCACCGCCTGAGTCCCGAAGTCGGCTCAATTCCAGCCGCAGGATGCAGATCAGTTGTGCACGACGGCACCGAGGTCAAGCCGCTGCAGGAGCTGCGCGGCGATGTCCACCCGCACCAAAAGAAACCTGTCGCGCGAAGCGACCCAAAACGATGACTGCGTGCAATGGTGTAGTAGTCTTCACACGTACCAGTCCGAGATCACGCACGAGCAAAGCAATTTCTTGCCGACGCCCGATAGCGTGACCAGCTCAAAACTTGCGCCTGTCCGAGACGCCTTAGACACGACGCTGCACCTCCGACTAGCAGGCGGGCCTTTCTGTGCAGTGCTGTCCTCTCGTCGCCGTCACTCTCCCCCACACCCCCCGCCCCCCACCTCCCCCCCAAAAAAAATCAGGAAAAGGATGATTCTGAGGACTGGCACATTATACATTGCCCGCCTATGCTGATACATCATTTCACAACAGCATAACATCTACATCGTCACTTTATTGCCTCGTTCGTTATAAATTTCTAGAATCTCTGGGGACATTTACCACATTCGCCCCTCATTCGTTTCATCTATCACACCACCTCGTTCGTTTTATTCAAGATGGTTCTGGGGACAAAATGCCTCATTCGTTTTCATCATTTCCTCACCTCATTCATTCCTCCATTCTTGAAGTGTTCTACCCCAGATTTTTCACATTTTTTCAAAGAGTATCCAATTTACCACCACCAAAAATCACAAAAAATAACAAAATATTAAATTTCTGGGGTCGATCACTTTATTCGTTATTCACAAATTTCATCACAAAATCACCAGGAAGTTAATATTATGTTAATGGTAAATTAATTGTCTTTTAGTTCACTGTTAAACTAAATATTGTTATTCAAAATATACATTTGCGATATTTATATATTTCTTCATTATTGAAATAGGCTTGATTACAATGTTCAGACGTTGAATTTGTAAGATATATTTCTATGATTGTTCTAAGGAGGCTCTTGTAAGTGGAATACTGACACATCCCGTTATGATAAAAGTCTTCATCTTCATCATACCAGAAGCATTTAATTACATCAACATTATAATTAAGACGCCAATATTCCGTGTATTTTTCAATAAGTTTTATATTCTTTGTGTCATTAATAAACTTTATCATTAACTTTTTACAACCATCACTGTATTGCATGTGTGTGGATTCATTGATAATGTCTTTAAAATATTGTTTCTTTTGCTTTAGGTTTCTTAGGTCTTTGTAGTTGAAGTCAAAATGATGCAAAAGACAGTGTAATTGTTTCTTCCCAGTGCTATAGTGCTATACTTCTTGAATTCTTCTTTATTGTATTCGTTTTCTAATTTATGCATGTGTTCGCATTTCCAACAACGATTAAAGCATGTGATCATATTAGTGATGTTTTGGTCAAACATTTGACTTAAAACATCTGAATGTCTTTGCTTGCAACATTTACATAAACTGCGCTCAAATTTAAAATCAAAGGTCATAAACACCCTACTATACTAAGGCTATTTCTCTTTAAGTCCGTTTTTATTCATTCATAAAACCTTACGGCGGGCAAAAATACATTGTCGTTCATCTTTCATCTCACTTCATATAAAAATTTCATTTCATGATAAATAATGTGCCGGTTTCTCAGAATCCCCTATAGTGTTTAGGTTAGGACGAAGCAATCAATCGGCGAGAAGTTCGCCATCATTGGACAGGTGTGCCTGTCTCGCTTGTGGTTTCTTAGTATGCCTCCACCTGTGTCCAGAAGCATAAAGAGCAACTTGCGCGAACGTCGTTTCCTGTTATAGCGGTTTCCTCTCAAATGGCTGACATAGAGAATGAAGAATACGACCGAGCCTATGAATGGTTGGCGCCCGAAGTTGGTTCGCTTCTCGTTCTTCAAAAGCAGAGCGAGGTGATGAACATTGTCTTTTCAAGAGGCTTTTTCACCATGCCCAATGACGTGAAGGTCATACTCGTGAAGGGCGTGGAAGAATGGTTCTACAATAACCCGCCGATGAAGGATGCACCATAGCAGACTATGACATTGAACGAGAAGTTGAAGCATGGAATGAGTGGGCTGATGATCTTGTCAATAGCGAGGAGTGCCCAAGAACGGGCACTGATGCAGAGGAGGCAATGCGTGTCTACCATGCTGATCGGTATGATTTCAAAGCATCGTTAAGCCTTTGAGAAAAACAAGTTGCCTTGAACACTGCTTGGAATGTCAGCTGCCGAGTGCTTTTGCAAGTGCAGTTGAACAGTGATGCAACGATTGCTTGAAAGCAAAACACATATATAGCGAAGTCTTTTTTGCTTACAGCATCCACTCGTGCCTTTGACCTCACTTTGTGAAAGAATGGCACCGAAGCAGAGCGATAGTAAGAAAAACGCCGAGGAGCAGTTCCTTGACCACGTTGAGAGCCCAACTGACGACGAAGAAGACCTCGTTGAGTTGATGTTGGGACTGAGCCTTGAAGACTTCTTGGGCGATGTTCCCGCCTCATCAACCGACACTTTGCAGAGTGTGCTTCCCAAGTTGTTGGAGATGCAGGAGCAGATTGTCGAGAAGACCCGTGCCACAAAGAAGGAGTTGACCCTGCGCGACCGTGAGAACAAGAAGGTCACCACAAAGGTTCGCTTGGCAAAGAAGAAGATTGATGACAAGAAAGCCCGTGAGACCGACAAAGCCTCCATCATCCAGATTGTTGTGATGTTGAACGGTGTTGAGGTGAAGTTGGAAGTGCCGAAGAGTATGACCATCGGAGACCTTCGCCGTGCCATCATCACCGCCTACAACGAGAAGTCCAGCAAGCCCTTGGCAAAGAAAATGGCTACAAAGATGACCCTTGATATGAACGGCACGGTGCTGAGCGAGACCCTGCGCTAAAGGAACCCATAAAGCAGCCCCTAAAACCCCAACCCTCTAGATTAAAAGAACCCAAACCTTAAAACCCTGAACCCTAAAGCCCTCTCAGAGCCCTTGAACCCTAAACCTTTAAATCCCTAAAAGGGGAACCCTACTATAGAACCTTAAGGGAAGGGTTTCATAGGATTCGGAAATCCCTCAAATCCTAGGACCCTAGATCCCGAAGCCGTAAAAGTGTAGGGTCCTTGAGCTTTAAAGCAGCCTTAAAACCCCAGGAGTTCGAGTTATAAGAGCCCTGGAACCCTAAACCCTTAAATCCCTAAAAGGGGAACCCGATTACAGAACCCCCAGCCCGAAAGCCCTAAAGCCCTACAACTTTTAAACCCCCAAAACCACAAAACCCGAAAACCCCAAAACCCTAAAGCCCTAAAACCCCAAAGTACCCTCTAAAGGAGCCCATAAAGCAGCCTTAAAAAACCCCAGGAGTTTGAGTTCCGGAGCTCCGATCCGGCGTTGGCCTGGCTCTCGGAGGTCCTCGGCCGCCGGGCGAAGCTGAAGACCAGGAGCTGCCCGCCGCCGGGGGGGAAAATTAGGGGTACCTTATTGGGGGATCCTTATAGAGATCCTAGTATTTAGGGTGCGATATTAGTTCTTTTAAAAGTTTCAAGGGTTTAGGGGGTTTAGGGGTTTAGGGGTTTAGGGTTCAGGGGTTTAGGGGTTTAGGGGTTTAGGGTTTAAGGAGGGATGCTACTTACCGTAACATAAGGCAAAGGGACACTACTCACAGTAATATATGGTTCCTAAGAAAGGGATGCTACTTAGAGTAGCATAGGGTTCCCTGTAAAGGGATGCCACTTATGGTGACATAGGGTCCTTGAAAGGGATCGATGAGTGCAAGGGCTCCGCACAGGGTTTGGAGGTTTGGGGTTTTGAGGGCTTTAGCAAGGGTTTTGGGGATTAGGGTTTGGGGTGGGATGAGGTTTGGATTGAATGTTTGTTGTTTTGGGTTCAAGCGGCGGGACTTTGGGGATTCATAGGGTTCCCTTTACGGGTACTGTAGGGTTCTATCATAGGGTGCAGGGTTTTGGGGTTTAGGGGTGCATGGTTTCAAGGTTTAGGGATTTAGGGCTGGGGGGTTTAGGGGTTTTGGGGGTTGGGATCTGGTATTGGGATGAGGTTTGGTCGGTTTGGTGTTGTTAAACGTTAAAGGAGGGGGATTTTGGGATTTATAGGGTTCACCCTAAAAGTACTATAGGGTTCTATCATAGGGAATAGGGTTTAGGTAACGATGTTTGGGATTTAGGGTTCCTGACATCTTCAAAGGGTATAATTTGTAGTTTAGAATGGGTTCCTGCAAGTGGATCTATAAGGCTTCTTTTAAAGGCTCTATAGGGTTTGGGGTTCAGGGGGGGTTCAGGAATTTGGGTTTTAGGGTTTTGGCGGTTTAGGGTTTAGGGTTGCAGGGGTGTGGAGGTTTAGAGTTTAGGGTCTAGGGTTTTAGGGTTTGGGTTGGGATGAGGTTTGGTTGCCTCTCCACCAATGAAGTGTGGAAGTATCGAGTCTGTGTTGTTAAGTCTTAACAAGAATTGTGTTTCGACGTCTTTTCTGGTTGAGTTTCCATCTGTTCATTTAGTTGGACTTCGGGTCATTCTATGTTACAGGATGCTCTATTTTCTGTTGTTTTGGTTTGTGTGGTTTGGGCTGTCTTTGATTGTTTCCCCGAGTCTTCAAAGAGAGCACGTCAACGAATCTGGGTTCTGGGTGTCGGGTTCAGGATGTACTGTACGGTTTGGGACAGCATGATGTCGAGAAGTTTGACTTGCATGTAAAGTTTTTGATTTTCGGAGGAGCCACTTCCTGCTGCGGGTGAGCCTTGGGCCTTTCTTCAATCGTTTTCGTTTTCTTCTGGTCAAAACTGGCAGGGTTTGGGGTTCAAGGTCTAGGTGTTTAGGGTTTAGGGGTTTAGGTTTGATCAGGGGTTTAGGGGTTTAGGCTTAGGGATTTAGGGTTTGGGGTTCAAGGTCTAGGTGTTTAGGGTTTAGGGGTTTAGGTTTGATCAGGGGTTTAGGGGTTTAGGCTTAGGGATTTAGGGTTTGGGGTTCAAGGTCTAGGTGTTTAGGGTTTAGGGGTTTAGGTTTGATCAGGGGTTTAGGGGTTTAGGCTTAGGGATTTAGGGTTTGGGGTTCAAGGTCTAGGTGTTTAGGGTTTAGGGGTTTAGGTTTGATCAGGGGTTTAGGGGTTTAGGCTTAGGGATTTAGGGTTTGGGGTTCAAGGTCTAGGTGTTTAGGGTTTAGGGGTTTAGGTTTGATCAGGGGTTTAGGGGTTTAGGCTTAGGGATTTAGGGTTTGGGGTTCAAGGTCTAGGTGTTTAGGGTTTAGGGGTTTAGGTTTGATCAGGGGTTTAGGGGTTTAGGCTTAGGGATTTAGGGTTTGGGGTTCAAGGTCTAGGTGTTTAGGGTTTAGGGGTTTAGGGGTTTAGGTTTTATCAGGGGTGTGCGGGTTTAGGGATTTAGGGTTTGGGGGTTTAGGGTTTAAGGGATTTTGGGGCCTTCAGGAATATCCGCTTTACTTCCGGCGGTGCCGCGCTGAGTGCCGTGCTGGACCTGGCCGACCTCGCCGGCTGCGAGAAGATGGACGAAGGTGCCTGAAGTTCAGTGGAAAGATGGGTTAGGGTTTACTGTTTAGGGGTAAGAGATAAGGTATAAGGGATCAGGGACTAAGGTTTATGGTTTGGGGATTAGGGTTTAGGGTCGAGGGTTGCGGTGTTCGGTTGAGGGTTTGTGGTGTTAGTCCAGCGTTGATCCTTTCTTTGAAAATTTTGAGCTTCAGAGACCAACTTGGAAGGGCTGAAAGACAGTCCGTAGGACACCCCAGCAGGTGGCCTCAGCCCTCAAGCCCTGTTGTACTGCGCCAGAAGGTGTTTCAGAAAACCTGGGACCGTAATCGTCTTATCAGGACGCCGAAGGGGCACCCCCAATTTTTTCTGAAAACCCTGGCATTCCTTAAATCCTTTACCCTAAACCCCGGAGACTTCGCGCCGCGCTGGACCTCCAGGTTTGGATGTAGCTGCCAAGAAGAACCACATGACGATCCAGGCACGTCCGGTGCGAAAGTCGGACTGCCTAAGCTCGACCTTGAGCCTGGACATCTGTGAACTTTTGCACGGCTTAAGGTTTAGGGTTTCGCGATTTGGGGGTTTCGGGGTTTAGGGATTTGGGGGTGTAGGGATTTGGGTGTTTAGGGGTTTAGGGTCTTTTAGGTTTTGGGGCCAATCAAAGCGTCAGCAAAGAAAGCTTCGAACTCCCAAAAACCAGGAGCTGCCGACCACCCTGAACCCTGAACCCTAAGCCCTAAGCCCTAAACCCTAAACCCTAAAGGCTAAAGCCTGAACCCCTAGACCCCAAACCTTAAGCCCTAAACCCCCAAAACCTTCTACCCCAAACCCCAAAACCCTAAACCCTGAACCCTAAAGCCTGAACCCTAAAGCCTAAACCCTAATGTCCCTGAGGCCGGGTTGAGCAATCTCCGGCACTGCATCGAGGCCAAGGTCAAAGGCAAGGCCGTGCCGATTCTTCGATCAAAACAGTTTTCAATTTGGGGTTGCTATGATCCCTAAGAAACCCTAAAGCCTAGACCCTGAACCCTGAACCCTGAAACCCTTGGAAACAGTTTTCAATTTTTTTGATTTTTGGTTGCTTACGGCGGCTATGATCCCTAAGAACCCCTAAGGCTTAAACCCTAAACTTGAAACCCTCACCTCGAACACCGCTTTCCCTAGGAGGGATTCTGTTCATGCGAACGGCAAAAACGTTCAAAAAAGCAACTTGAAACCCTAAGCCGCTTAGGTTTACGTACTTCAGCCTGCCTCGGCTGCTGGCGCCAGACTTCCGGGGAGAGGCTTCGGCTCAAGACTATGAGGGAAGCCATGCCTTGAAGAGGGGGGGGGGTTTCGGGTTTTAGGGTTTAGGGGTTAGGGGTTTAGGGTTTCGGGTTTAAGGGTTTAGGGGTCTAGGGGTTTAGGGGTTTAGGGTTTAGTGTTTCGGGGTTTCGGATTTAAGGGTTTAGCGGTCTAGGGGTTTAGGGGTTTAGGGTTAGGGTTGGGGGTTTAGGGGTTTAGGTACGTCATGGACCCTAATCCCTTGAGGGTGCAGGGTTTAGGTTTTCGGTTTTGGGATGGCGCCGAATCAGGACCCTTGCGAAACAGGAGGATGGCTTCTCTTGTTCTTCTGATGAACCGTCGTTGCAGGGTCTCATGCGGTCTAGCCGCCTAGCCCGTGAAGCATGGTGGCAAGGAGTGTGAAATAGCATCAGGCAAGATGCCAAGGACTATTTTGATCATTAAGTACCATGGCCACCTACATCTTAACACTAGACACCCTTGAGTAGCACTGAGCATCAGCATGCGGCGATTTAAGCTCTTGAAGCCTAGGAAAGCCCCGAACCATAGAACCCCTTCTGGTGATTCCGAAAGTCCCGAAACCCTAAACCGTCCCGAAACCCTGGAAGTCCCGGAACCTTTCAATCCCCAAGACCTTAAATCTCCAACCACCTAAGCCCTAAACCCCTCAGGGTTTAGGGTTTGGAGTTTAACTAAGCCGCCAAAGCCGAAGCAGGGGAGCCCCTGAAGCGCAAGGATCTACGTGAGCCCCGAAGCCCTAAAGCCTAAAACGTTAGAGGAGGTCTTGAAGTGAAATCCTCAAGCCCCAAACCCTAAACCCTAAACTCCAAACCTGCCGCCCCAAACCCCAAACCTTAAACCCTAAACCCAAAACCCTGAAACCCTCTAAGAGCTTGAACCCTAAACCCCAAAATCCCCAAAAGGGAGCCCTATCATAGAACCCCTATAGCACCCTTAAAAAGGAAGCCCAAGGATGCCTATGATAGAACTCCTACAGTACCCTTTAAGGGAAGCCCAAGGATGCCTCGATCTCCTTCGTCATCAACTGCCCGAGCCTCTCGGACGTCGACCGCACGGCCGAGACCTCGGAGACCCTTGACCTGGCGCGCTTCATTCTGAGGCGCCCGGCCGGGGGGGGGGCCGGGGCCCTTTTCTTTTGGGGTTACCCTAAACCCTAAACCCTAAGTTTAGGGCGTTTGGGGCGTTTGGGGTTTTAGGGGTTTAGGGTTTAGGGGCTTGGATTCTGAGGACCCGCCCTTTCTTTAATGGGCTTCTAGGGTTTAGGGCGTTCGGGGTGTTTGGGGTTATTGGGGCCAGTTTTAGGTTTAGGGTTTGGGTGTGTGGTTATGTTGACTTCGTGTTGTTTTGTGTGTTTGTGCGCGCGAGTTTAGGGTTGAGGGTCTTGGACGTTTTCTTTATTGTCTTATGTTACTTGTTTTTTGTGGTTGAGGCTTCAGGGTTTGGGAGCAGGTAAGCTAGGACTCGGGGTAGGTGTGTCGTGAGGGTCTCTCGAAAAGTTGTGTTTCATGGGTTGTGGAGTCGTAGTTGGTACAGGAGTTTTCCAGGTAGAGTCCACACCAATTGCCCGCTGCACAGTGCAGAATTTTACGAAGGCTTTGTGCCTTAGGGTGTGCCGTAAACTAAGCTGCAAACCGAGAACCCTATGACATCTAAACGCGAAGGCAAAGTTTCGAAAAGGATCGAACTTGTGGGTTCAGGCAAAAGGAAGATGCGCGTACCCTACGGGTCGAGGAAAGCCGGGACGAGTGCCATCCGGCTGTCCCAAGGATCGAGACCCCGTTTCAGGAATGTTTTGTGGGATCTGAAAGTTTGGGGGTGGAGTCCTGTGAGTTGTTAGTTTTTGCTGGAAGCCCAAATGTAAGCAGCTCTGCAAGTCCTAAACCGTGAAGCCCTTAAGCCTTAAAGCCACCATATTTCCCAAAGCCCTAACCATCCTTCAGCCTTAAAGCCCTAAACCCCCAAACCCTAAACCCATGCACCCTAAACCCGATGATGCCTATGATAGAACCTTATAGGACCCTTAAAGGGCATCCTATTTTTCTACCATACAACACCTACAGCACCCTTCGGCCCCCAATATGAGGGGTTTATCACAGCAGGCTCGAGCTTGCCTACCGGGCCCAAAAAGCCACTGTGCAGCTGACGGCGGAGGAGCTTTGGTTGAGGGGCTGCACATAGGTCTTCCTAGTGTTTCCTGAAATTTCTGAGGCTTTCAAAGAAACGGCAGGTCTTTTCCTAAGGGTGTCTTTGGGGTTTAGTGCTACGGGCCTAGCACGATCTTCTTTGATATTCAAGATGCAAGAGTGTGATACTGCGGGATTCTAATATGCGGCTCAGGAATCCAAACTAAATCCAAGCTACCCTAGCAAGGAAACCGTAACGGAGCTTTAAGTTCAAGTCCCAACCTTAAAACACCACCAAAAAATCTCACCCCTAAACTAAACCCCTCTAGAACCCTTATGAAACCTTAAAATGAAGATTCCTTCCAGGAGCCCTTCTACAGTCCTTAAACCCTAAATCCCAACACCTCATCCCTAAACCTCCCCCTTTAAAAGGAGCCCTTCTATAGTCCCTAAACCCTAAACCCCCCCTTTTAAAGGAGCCCTGTAAAGCTCTCTTAGGAGCTCCTGAAGTCTGCCGAGAGCCGCGCCGAGAGGGCGCCGACGCCCAAGGCGGAGGCCCCGGTGAAACCCATGCCCTCCGACGACCGGGAGATCCGGAGGCGCCTTCTTTTCTTTCTTTCTAAGGGTTTAGGGTTTAGGGATTAGGGATTACGGGTTTAGGGTTTGGGGTTTAGTGTTCCTTAGGATTTAGGGTTTGGGATTAAAAGGGATCCTGTCAGGTTCCCGGTTTAGGGTTTAGGGTTTAAATAAGGCTTCATGCCCGGAGTTTTGACAAGGGATCCTAGAAGGGATCTGTAAGGTGCTACATTGGGGAGGGTTCGGGGTTCCAAAACGGGCTTCAAAAAGGGTTTTGGGTTTTGGGATTTGGGAATGAAAACGGTCCAGAGTTCGAGGGTTTGGGGTTTGTAGCCCCAAAGCCTACAGCAGAGTAACCTTAAACCCTAAACCTTACTAGGTGATCTCATATCCTTGTGCTGCCATACCTTAAAACCCCAAGCCCCAAATCCTGAAACCAAATACCGCCGAAAACCCGAATGCCCTAAACCCTCCATCCGAAGTTTTACAGCCGAAGAATCCCAGAACCCTAAAATATTTTAAAGCCCCACAAGCCCCAAAAGCCCTAGACAAAGCGTCCTCAGGCTCCGGAAGAAGTTGGAGAGGCGGAACCAGGAGGGTGGTTGTCAAAATTAGGGTCCCTTTCTGGGTACCCTAAATATTAGGTGCCGTACCATATTAGGGACCCAAATAGGGACCCTATTCCCTAAACCCTAAACCCTAAACCCTATTTTGACAACCACCCAGGAAGTGCAGGAGCTGCGGAAGCAGCTGGAGGCCCAGCGCCTGGGTCCTCTGCTGAAGAGGACTCCGCTGTTTGGGGCTTTGGAGTTTTAGGCTTACGGCTTGAGGGCTTTAGGATTTTTTGGGGTTTTCGGGTTTTAGGATTTTTGGGCTTGGGGTTGTAGGGCTTCGGGTTTGGGGCTTGGGCCGCAAGGTTTTAAGGTTTAGAGTCGGATTCCAGCGTTTGGTTACCTTTTTTGATCATCTATTCCTAAAACCCGAAGCCCTTGAACAACCCTAAGCCCTAAAAGCCTAGCAGGGCGGGATTAAGGATATCGGGTTCCATGGTCTCTTCCCCAGACGTGGCCTTCGAGAATCAGGGTCCCCAGGTCTTCGGGTATGGCTCCCGCTTTGGATGCGGGCTGTTCAGAATACAGGAGTTTCCGAAAATCAGGGGTACCTTATTCCTTATAATAAGGATCCTACTGTTTAGGGTACTATATTAGGGTGCTTCGAGCTTTACGGGTTTAGGGGCAGCTGTAGCTCTCAAAGCTTCCTAAACACTACTTCCCTGAATGCCGAAGCCCCAAATGCGCAAGAGGAGTCTGGAGAAGGCCTCATCCGAAGAGGTCCGGGAACTCTTGAAGGAGGCTGGTGCTTTAGTTCTTTGTTGTTAGTACTTACAGTTGTCTTGTCATGAGTCTTATTTGGTACTTATGGTTGTCATGAGTCTTGTTTGGGGTTCGAGTTGTTATGGTTTTGTCTTCGTGGGGCTCCTTGTTTTTCTTTGGGGTGGGCTCTTGCCACCTTACCAATCTTTTTGCTTCGCAGGGAGAGCTTAGGTCATATGATTGCTGTTGTACTTTGTTATTCTGAGTTTTCGACGGTGCTGTTTTGTTTTAGGGTCGAGGGCTTCGGAATGTTTGTATCGCTGTTTTGGAGTACAAAAGCACAAAGACCCAAAGCTCTAAGCCCCAAACGGTAGCTCTTCAATCAAACCACAAGCGAAACTCCCACGCACCTAGGGTTTAGCCGCCTTGGATTTGGTTGTCGGTGTTCACGCGTTTCTTACTTTGAGTTCAGGGCTTTTGGTTCTTGGGGCTTTTGGATCTTTGCCTGTGTTCTTTGTTGCTTGTGGCTTTGGGCCTGTTTGTTGCCTCTTGTTAGGGCCTGGAGCTTTTGGGGTTTGATTATGTCTTTTAGGGTTCAGGGTTTAGTGGTTTAGGGTTTAGGGCCTAGGGGTTTAGAGGTTTAGGGTTCAGGGTTTAGGGCCTCGGGCTTTGATTTCTATTTCTTTACGGCTTTGAGCTTTGGGCTCGGGGCGTTTGGGGGTTGCGCGTCCGTCCTGGGGCCTTCTGGCTTTGGGTTTTGTTGCCTTGATCATCTACCTGGACCCTAAGGAACCTACCTTTTTAGGGTTCCCTAGTATGACTTCTTTATATAAGTCCTTAAAACGATAGGTTACTTGGGGTTAAGGTTGGGCTTACGAAGGCTTTGGGGGCACTGTTGATATAAGGGTTTAGCACTTTTGGTGGTTTTGCTTTTTCTCTTTAGGTATGTTATTGTAGGTATTTAGGGCCTGGTTGTTTTTCTTTGGGGTTTCAAGGGTTTGCTTTTTTGTTGAAGGTTTAATCGGTCTTTGTTTCTAGTTTTGGCTAGTTAGGGCTCTTGGGGTTTGGGGTATCAAACCATGAAGGAGGTGTTAAACGAACCCACGCACCTAAACCCTGAAGCCTAAGCCCTAAACCCTAAACCCACCGACGGAAAAAGTGCTTTCAAAAAAAACAAAAAAACCCTGAACCCCTATAAGCCCTAAAAACCCAAAAAGGAGCCCTTAAACAAAACAAAAACCCAAATAAGCAAAGCCCACTGCCTCTGTGGCAGGTGGAGCAGCGCTACCCGGAGATCCTGCAGGCTTGGCCGCGCTGGCGGGAGCAGCTGGAGAAGGGCGACTTCCAGGAGCACGAAGCGTGCTGAATCTCATGACAAGTATTGCTGCAAGTGGAAGAGTAAGAACCACTTGTAACAATACTACTACACTAATCATGAGAACAACGAATCATAATGAACATAACCATAAGCTTATAGTAGTCAGAATAATCTTCTGCGAAAGGAGCAGGCAGGGAGTTTGGGCATCAACATTTTTTGTTGGGGACTGTTCAAGATACACATTGTGCCAACTAGCAACGGCAATAATAGTCGCAACGTGACGCGAATCGCAGCAGTCACGGCTGCAGAAAAGAAAGAACGCTAGCAATCATCACCCATGCGATTTGGGAGTTTCCGAAAATAGGGGACCCTAATATGGTACCCTAAATAGTAGGGTCCTTACTAAAAGGACCCCCAAATAAGGCACCCCTGATTTTCGGAAACTCTCCATTTTCTGCTTTCAACTGAGGGGCCTCGGGCTTCGCTGCATTGGGGGTTTACTTAAAGGATCATGGGACTTAGTAACTAGGGTTCCTTTAAAGGGATCTATAAGGGTTCCTTAAAGGGATCTATAAGGTTTAGGGTTTAGGGTCTACTTAAAGGATCATGGGACTTAGTAGCTAGGGTTATAATTAGGGTAACTATACTTATAACTACTTATAACCCCAATTAGGTACTTACAACCTTACTTACTAAGTCCCATGATCCTCCAAGTAGCGGGTTCAGGGGCTCTACTTTAGGAGGTTTGGAGCCTCAGGGACTTTTGGGGTCGGGGTTTGGGTTGAGGCGTTTTTCTCAAGTTTAGGGCCTTGGGGGTTGTGTTGCGTAGCTTTCACTGGAGACCTCAAGCCTGAATCTCTTCCGTGAGCTTTACCACCCTGAAACCTAAAGAGCCTGCTAAATCCCTACCCCGAAGACTCTTGTACCCTAAACCGTAAAGCCCAAACCCTTAAAGTCCTCAACCCGGAAGAACCCCAAAATACCCCTAAACCCTACGTCCTACGAGCATGGCTGCGGCTGCAGGACCACCTCCTTGAGGTGCAGAAGGCTGTGGATCAGCGCGAGATGCAGCTCCAATCATTTCAGTGGCTCCTCCAGCGCAAGGAGGAGCCGCGAGAGCTTCGGGGACTTCTGCCTGGGGGAGGCTTTTTCTTACCTTTGGTTTGTAGGGAATGGAAGAATGGTAGTAGTAGTAGTAGTAGTAGTAGTAGTACGCGCAGGAGTAGAGGTTTGCCCACGGCATTTGGGCACTTACGCATCAGCATTCAGGATTCAGGGTTTCGGCTGCGCTTGAGTCTTTGGATTCCAGGACTATTGTCTTATGTCTTCTTCTTTCGGTGCGTTTGTGTCTTTGGATGCAGATTTTCTGCCTTATGTTTTCTTATTTGTATGGTGCATCAACACTGTCTGCTCCACCATCTCGCCCGCGTGATTACGAACATCTTCAGCAACATCGTCCTCCAAGTCAACACCAAGTGCATGTGAGGTCAAAGCAGTAGCAACATGTCTTCCGCTCATGATGATGTCTGATGATGCTGATAGGCTCTTCTGTCGTCCTGGTGGTGTTGACGATTAAGATGGTGAGAATGAATAAAACTCCCAAGAACTTAACAACCCTCCAAGTCTCTTCGGTGTGCGAGCTCTTGCTTCTGCCTCGACTTCTGGTCTCTGGGCAGAGGGAGCAAGTGCTGCAGTGACGCACCAGAATATGGCAAGCTTGGCTCAATGATTCTGTGCCCGCAAGTTCCCTCTGACTTTCGCACGTGGCCGTTGGCGGTGCAGGTGAACGTGCTGTCCTGTCTTTCGGTTGCGGACCGCACACGTCTGCAGTGGTGTAGCCTTGTGCAGCACGAACCAACACTCACGAGGCCATGGCAGCGCATAGTATGCTTATGCCAGCTTTCCGCGGTAAGCTGACTACGACCCCAGTCTTTGGAGTAGTGGCTTTAGAGCTTTCAAAAGGGCCATAACGAAGTCATGAAGATTTTCATGTAGGAAGATGCGATGCTATAATGGTATAGGATTTAGGGTCTACTTGGAGGTTCATGGGTAGTTATAACAGTGGGGATATAAGTCCCTAATATGATTCGTAACTACAGGTAATTAACCTGCTTATAACCTGGCTTATAACTACCCATGAACCTCGAAGTAGGAATCCGAGGAACAGTTGCAACATGGCAGAGCTGGAGCCCAAAACCTTACCTTTATAATTTACGGACTCATGGTTTCAGGTTTTCTGGCCCACAAGGACCATGCTATCTTAAGGCTAACATTATCGGTCTCAGGGCCTGCATGTTGGCTGACAATGCCCTGCAGGCTGTTACAAGGACTCGAGGGCTTCCTGCCGCCACCACAAGCTCCGTCGCCAGCACCCACTCAGCTAGACCCGCCGGAGGTGGACGTGCAGGACCTCGGCGGCTTCTTAGACCCGGAGACACCTCCCAGAGCACTTCGTCGCCAGCCTCTTGAGTACACGCCACCGTGACCATGGGCAAAGGAGGCCTCAAAATCAAACCCAAAAGCAAACTTGGGAACCGCAGGAAGATCAAGAAGGACCAGCAGCTGCAAGACCTCAAGACGAAGAACGCAAACTTCAAACGGCATAACATACAATACGCACCGACCACAGCTCCGAAGCAGTCCGTGGCCTTGAAAGAGTTGCAGGAGGAGATCTCCTACCCTGAGATCGTGCGCAGCACCGACAAGGCCCTGAAGTCCATGCTCCTGGCCGAAGGCGTGCTGCGCGCGAAGACACAGCGGCCCGTGATCATGTGTTGGTCCTGCGGCAGCCGCATGGAAGCCGCAGACAGCCGAAGTAGCTCACTCCGCTGCTCCGGCGGGCGTGCATGCCCGACGCGTGCCAGGCTGAGCAATGTGGACGATGCCTTCACGCCCTTCGGCCCGACAGCAGCATCTGGATGCGACAAGGACTTCGCAGCCTTCGTGAGAACCGCATGGTGCTACGGCATGAAGGCAAGCGTGCGACATATGTAAAACTCAGACGTGTGTACCAGTATTGCACAGTAAAACCCCTGGCCGTCTCTCGAGGAACCTGAACATACGGCATCATGGCAGACGTGCGACATATGTAAACCGCACGCGTGTGTACCAGCATTGCACAGTAAAACCCCTTGCCGTCTCTCGACGAACTTGAACATCAGCGATCCTGCCGCCTGGGAAAAGTAGCAAGACACGAATACTACATCGAAGCATTGGTGTTTGCCTCCTTGTCAGCGAGACGGAAGATCCAGGAATTAAACATCCGTTTGAAAGCCACTCAACCAGGAATAAGACATCAAAGTATTGCCATCGCCCGCTGTCCTTAACAGCATTCAAAGACGAATACCACACGGACGCTAGTTGTGAGTTTTTCTGTTGAGTCAACTGTGTTTTCGTTCTAGTGTCGAAAGAATACTCTTTTGTGCCGCGGTGCTTTTCGGCACTAGCTGTCACACAACTAGCGTTTTCTGCTTGGCATCGCATGCTAGAATATTTTTTCACCCACCCTCCACGCCCTGGGGATGGCTCGGCATCGCTTGCCTCTTTCCTCTGGCGAGCAATGCGTCGCAATGCAGTGCGTCCTTCGAGCAATCTCTGCGGACAAAGAGGGAGTCCGTTCGCCATGCACTCCTGTATCTTTCGAAATAGAATAGAGAACGTAACTGAGCTATTGATTCACGCTTTGTTTCCGAAGATGTCCCAAAGTTGCTCGGGCGGAGATGAGAGCTGGAGGGAACTGCTGCGAGCGGCTTCGCTGGCTTCCGTGGCTGCCTGTTCGCGAGCGGGGGGACTGGGAAGCGAAGAAAAGCGCGAAGCTGAACTACGGAAACGGTGCGGGATGAGACCCGGGTGCACGCAAGGGGGAGAGAAGGCGAAGCGTGCTTTTCCTTTTAGCACGCTTCGCGTTCTCTCCCCCTTGCGTGCACCCGGGTCTCATCCCGCACCGTTTCCGTAGTTCAGCTTCGCGCTTTTCTTCGCTTCCCAGTCCCCCCGCTCGCGAACAGGCAGCCACGGAAGCCAGCGAAGCCGCTCGCAGCAGTTCCCTCCAGCTCTCATCCCCGCCCGAGCAACTTTGGGGCATCTTCGGTGGCCGCACCCCCTGCATGCTGCCCTGGTTCAAAAATCCAAATACATAGGTGGGTATGTCAATAAAGCCGGTGTTTTTCATGTTTGTTTCGGGAGCGATGTCTCAGCACGAACTTCTCTAATTTCTTGTGAAGTCCACCCGGTTGAAATGAATGTTCTCATTGCAACCCAGGCAGGAGCCAATAGAAGGCATTTCCAACAGTAAGCCATAGGAAGCCTGTACGACAACCAAACAGAATCCAACCAGGATCCACAAGGAAGCATTGACAGTGCTGAAGTTGAAGCAATACCCAGCCAGGAGCTTAAACACGGCAAGGGGTCAATACTGCGCAATACGCATGCGCAGACACGCAACACACGTAGACATACACATGCATAGACATAGACAAGACATAAAGACATGCACATATACATACACATATACATATACATATACATATACATATACATATACATATACATGTACATATGCATATACATATGCACACACATACACAAGCACATACACATGCACATATACATACACATAGACATACATATGACATAGACATATACATATACAAGCGTATACATACACATTATCATCCTATGCATTATATCTTTCACATCTACTGGGAAGCCAGCTTAGTGTAAGTAAAAAAAGGCCGCATAGTGTAAGTGCGAGACGCTGTGTCTTCCATTCAGACGTCAGGCCGGGGCAGATCAGACAGCTCATCTCATCCGGGAGCCGGGCGAGAATCTGCTCACAGTGCACAAAAAGGTGCAGCGATACAGACAGCTGCATGCCATCGCTTTGGCCTACAGCGAAATGCTGCACGCGCAGCAGGTCCGCTTCGAGTACGACATCGTAGAGCCAGACAGTGCGCGCTTCGGGAAGCGGGCGACAGAAGATGGTTCCGCTCGCACGCACGTGGGCAGGAGCTTGAGACTGAAGAAGTTGTATGGAGTCAGGTCAAAAACATGTGAATAAGCAGCTACTTTGATTCCCATGGGCCGCCGTGCATAGAGAGCTTAAGTTTCAGCCTTGTACGCCCTAGCCTTAGTCACCATTGAATTCCCAAACTGTGAACTTAGCAATCACACAGTATCTGGACACAGGACGTTGGTCTTGAAGGGGCGCAAAAGCAAGGAATGGACGGCAACTCCTCTGCAACCAAGTCAGTCACTGGGCAAGCGCGGCATGCCACCCGAGTCTCTGGACGAAGTCTTGGGTCCCATGCAGAAGCAGATCCGTCGTGGGTGCGTTGTCGCGCCCGACGGCGGCCAAGCCTTCAAGGCTGCCGCGGCTGCCTTGCAGAAGCCATTGCTGCCTGGGGTGAGGCATGCGCAGAAGCTTTTCACGCCCACAGCCAAGTTGCCAGCCTCTACTTGCCAGACGGAGACGAAGAAGAGGACGCTGACGAAGAACATCGCCAAGAAGTCCGGGCGAGACTACATCATGGCTGCTGGTGACAACTGCGCAGAAGGATTGCTTGGCAACATTAAAACAACGCTCAGGACCGGAGTCTTTCGAGTAGCAGCGTACACAAACCGACCAAGTGGCAGCTTCATTTCTCGGTTTGAACAGTTTCGTCTTTTCTTCGGTTGTTGCTTCCAGGAGATCTGGTGGCATGCGCGCGCAGAGAGACAAGCTTTCTTCACTTCGTTCTCTCAGTGCAGCCGCTCTGCTTCGACAGCCGGGCTTGCGAAGAGTACTTCAGGCACCGTTGGCCCAGAAATCTGTCAGTCTTCTTCGGCTTGGGGTCTAAGATTCCAGACGTCAGGTTTGGCTTTCAGGGATTTGAGATCCTTACTCTTTTTGGGTTGCCGCGTTTCGGTCTGGGGTTTAGCCTGGTGTAGAGCCTCCCCGACTACTCATCATCTGCGGCAGGCGCACGCAAATTATCGACGTGCGCTGGAATCCGGAGTTTTGAAGCTTTCACCCACGCAGGCTTATGCTGTTAACAGCATTTCCTGGCTCGGACTGGCAGAAGATCAGGCCGAGAAGTAGCAGTAGGCAGCTTCTGCGCGCAGCCAGCTTTCCGGCACAATCTCCCCCGAAACCTCAGCCCTTCCTTAGGGAAACCTACTGCAGCACAGAAACGCACAAGCCATTCGCAGCTTCAACTCGGGAGTTCGGGCAGAAGTTTGGCACCGACAAGCTCGGGAGGACCCCTCGCAGGTACCGCGCCTGCCACGAAAAAGAGACGCGGCTGTGGATGCAGCCAAAGAGGCGCGGGCAAACCTACGCCTCTGCCCGTAGTAGTAGTAGTAGTAGTAGTAGTAGTAGTAGTAGTAGTAGTAGTAGTAGTAGTAGTAGTAGTAGTAGTAGTAGTAGTTATACTTGTACCCCATTCCTCCATTCAAAGGTGCGTATTGAGATAAGCCCGAAACCCCGATCCTCTCGCGAGGAGCTGCAGAACTGCGAGGAGCTGCCCGAGGAGGTGCGGCAGCTTCGGCAGCAGCAGGCCCGGTTCTTGTTAAGGAGTTTTTTTTTTTACTTTGCCATGGGTTTTGCTAGTTTTTTTGGGGGTTGAGGGTGCAGGATTTTGATGTATTCCTATAGATCCCGAAAATGGCAACTTCAAACTATCCTCCGAAGCCCTAAACCCTAGACCCTAAACTCTCAGCCTTAACGAGACTCCAGCAGGTGGCAGCGTTGGATCTGCTTCTGGACTCGGCCGGCGCCTGGACCTGCTTTGGAGTTGGGGGCGGGGCTCTAGTTGTAGGATCTAACAATATAGTGGCCTCAATAAGTAGAATAGGGTTCTCTAAGGGTTCCTTGGGCTTTAGTTTTTGGGGTTCAGGAATTGGGGTCTAGGGTGGTCATTCTTAGAGCCCTTTTGAAACCCACGGGTTTAGTATAGAGCTGTAGTTTTCGGGTTTAGGATTTAGGGTTTAGGGTGTTCGCGCCTAAAAGGCCTTAGGGAACGCTTGAGGGACCCCCTAGCGAGATCTTAAAGGAAACCTAAAGCATTCTGTGCTAAAGCCCTAAACGTCGAATGCCAAACCGCTAGTCAAAAACAATTGTTCGAGCCCTCGCATCCGTATAGAACTTTCGAAGTACCCTAAGCCTTACCCCTGACCAACGGTCTCTGTAGTAACCGTGATGAAGGCCTTTCAAGCCTTCTTCTACATGGACAGAGCCTGCAGAAGTGTCCTAAACCCCGCAAGTCCCTAAAAAACTTTGTATACTTTAGGGGTCTTAAAGCAGTAGACTTGTTCTGTGTCGTTGTTGTAATTGTACCTTTTTACCATCATATGTGCCTTAACTTTCTTTTAACTAATGAGGCCCCTAGGTTCCTGCATTGTTCTCATAAAGCCATCGAAGTCAGGCTTGTCGAATGAGCAAAGAGCAGACTTGGCCAAGGAGGCCGCGCAGAAAGAGGCTCCTTTCCGGACTGAGACTACGGCATTACGGGTCCATTTTTTGTGGTTTTCGTAAGGGTTTCGAGTTCCACAAGGCTTCATCGAACTTCTATACGGGTTTCCGAGGCTTTTCACGGGCTTCTGTACTGGTGCCTTGACGGATTCTTCCAAGCACGCGGTATTTTTATGAAATCTTTCTTTTGTGAGCGCTTTCGGCTTTAGGATCTTAGGTCTTAGCGTTTGGGGGTTTGGGGTCCTAAACTTTTTAACTTCAGGGGTTAGGATCTTGGAGCGAGGTTTACGGTCTGGCGTTTGGGGGTTAGGGTCCGAGGGTTTTAGGGCTTAGGATTGGGATTTACGGTCTGGGGTTTTGGGTCTTGGTTTTCGGGTTTTCGGGTTGTTCCTTGTAGTTAAATCTTCCTTCACACGCGTCATGGGGGCCCATGACCCCTAGCCCTAACCCCCCCTGAACCCTAAACCCCAAACCCTGAACCGCCCTGCCCTGCCCTGACTCCTTACTTTGCCTAACTGCCGGAAAGGAAGAAAAGCGAGTTTCGGCTTAAACCCCAGAAGGAATGGGTTTGGGTGGCTTGGCCGCTTTATACGGCGTGGGGGGAAAGAAGGAGGGAAAAAGCCTTCTATAGACAGGCTTCCGCAGCTTGTCACTGCAATACGATGCACTCGACACAAACCTTGTCGCAAGATATTATCGCCTATGCGCTCTTCCACGGCAAGCCCTAAACCCCAAACCCTAAACCCTGAATTCTAAACCCCAAACCCTAAACCCTAAACCGTAAACCCTAAACCCTAAACCCCAAACCCTAAACCATACACCATACACCATAAGCCATAACCTTTATGCTCCGCCCCTGAAAGGCGCTGCAGCAGAAGCTGCAGAAGAAGCAGGAGGAGCTCCGGCCTCCGAGGGAAGTCTGTTTTGGGGTTTGGGGTTTAAATTCAGGGCCTAAAGGGTTGGGTTGTAGGGGTTTAGGGTTTAGGGGGTTTAGGGGTTTAGGGTTCAGGGGTTTAGGGTTTAGGGTTGTGATGTGGGGGTTTAAGGTTTAGGGTTTGCAGGTCATTAAGGGGCATTAAGGGGTTTAGAGTGATATAGAGCTGGGGTTTGTTGCGAGCTTTGAAGACTTTGATGCTCCTGTTTCGGATTTCCTTTTCTGAACTTCCTTCGGTGCTGAGGCCGCAAATACGGTGGTCCGGCCTTGTACAGCCCTCTTCAGACCCCTAAACCCTAGACCCTAAACCCCGAAACCCTTAATTAATCCCTAAACCTCAATACCTCAGCTCCCTAAACGCCAAGCCCTCAACCCGAAAGCCCTAAACCCCTAAACCCGAGGAGATCCAACCCCTACACCCCTACACCCCTAAACCCCTAAATCCCTAAACCCTAAACCCCTAAACCCTAAACCCCTAGAGCCCCGAGAGCCCTAAGAGGAGATCGGGCTTCTGGAGACGAACTTGCACCTCGCTGGTGCCAGGGACGATGCACCCGCCCGGGCCTCGTCGTGGGAGACATAAACGCCAGACGTGCAGCGCCTGATAGAACATCCCAGGTGAAAAAGCGGCTCTATGGCATGCCTTAAATAAACCCAAAAGGGTTCCGAAGATTGGGGGTACCCCATTTTCGGAAACTCCCAAAACACTAATCAACCCGGCTTTGCCCCTTGGAAGCCCTACTAAAGCCCCCAGCTCCCATTCCTTTTCCCTTGGAGGACCCTTATAGAATGCTTATGAGGCCCTCAAAATCCGGAAGGCAAACCTATATACACCACCGTAGGCCCTAAACCCAAACGCTGAGCCCGAAACCCTAATTCCTAAACCCTAAGCCCAAACCCTGAGCCCGAAACTCTAGATCTAAACCCTAAACCCAAACCCTGAGCCATAAACCCTTAAATCCTAAACCCTAAACCGCCTCCCAGGTGAAGAAGGAGCTGTTGGAGGACCTCGCGGCTTTCGGCATCGACGAGCTCAAGCAAGCGGTGGAGCGTCTTCCTGGGCGGCTCCGTCCTTGACAAGCCGATCACCTCCTTCCCTAAACCCTACATGGGTGGTTGTCAAAATTATGGTCCCTTTTTGGGTCCCGAATATAGTACGGCACCTATTATTTAGGGTACCCAAAAAAGGAACCATAATTTTGACAACCACCCACATCTCTTAACCCTCAAGGGAGGGAAGCTTCTTGGAGGAGCTTTAGGGGGCTTTGGGATCTTAAGAATGTCTTGGGTGAGTTTATATAAGGCTTTATCAGGTTTAGGATTTAGGGGTGTAGGTCTTAGGGTCTTTGGGTCTAGGGGTTTATGGAGTTTTCTGGGGTTTGTAGGATTTCGTTTTTTAGGTTTCATGCTTAATGTAGATGGCTGGCTGATTGCCACTACTTCACTGCTATTCCGTCCGTACGGTTCCGTGCTATGAAGTATACTGTAATGTACCCCGGCACCCTTTTCTAACCATGTGCGGTTTTGGAGTTCGCAGTTCCAGGACTTACGGTCTCGGCAAAGTACACCAAAGGTTCTGGTAAATCCCAAACACAACACACCATACCCAAAATATCTCCCTTTATGCGAAACTGCACTAGACTCTGCCATAACATACTGTAAGCAGAATATGTAACACACCGAGGTCCACCTCCACCTTGCAGCACCTGCTCATGGCGCACCCCTCCTGGAAGCAGCGCTTCTACCAGATCGGCGGCTTGGAGAAAATCCTGGAGAAGATGGAGAGGATCGAAAGGGTTTCTTTAAGGGCCAAGGGTGCCTTTGCGGGATCCGTTAGTGTTTTTTGAAAGGGGGTTCTTCTAAGGGCTCCTTTCAGTGATCTACGGGGTTTCCTCTAAGGGCTCCTTTAAGGGTGCCTTTAAGGGTTCCTTTATGGGTTGGAGGGTTCGAGAGAACCGGGCCTCAGGGCTTCAGGGTTGGGCACTTGTTTGCGGCCAGCCTGCCCGCACGGCTTCAACATCTCCACAAAGCCTCCAACTCGCTGCGGGCAGCCTGCCCGCACGGCCTCAACACCTCGACAAAGCAGCCAGCTGGCTGCGGGCAGCCTGCCCGAACGCTCCACAAAGCCTCGAACTCGCTGCGGGCAGCCTGCCCGCACGGCCTCAACACCTCCACAAAGCAGCCAGCTGGCTGCAGGCAGCCTCCCCGCACGGCCTCAACATCTCCACAAAGCCTCCAACTCCTGCAGGCAGCCTGCCCGCACGGCCTCAACACCTCCACAAAGCCTCCAACTTGCTGCGGGCAGGGCCTCAACATCTCCACAAAGCCTCCAACTCGCTGCGGGCAGCCTGCCCGCACGGCCTCAACACCTCTACAAAGCCTCCAACTAGCTGCGGGCAGCCTCCCCGCACGGCCTCAACACCTCCACAAAGCCTCCAACTCGCTGCGGTCGGCCTGCCCGCACTGCCTCAACACCTCCACAAAGCCTCCAACTCTGCGGGCAGCCTGCTCGCACGGCCTCAACACCTCTACAAAGCCTCCAACTCGCTGCGGGCAGCTTCCCCGCACGGCCTCAACACCTCCACAAAGCCTCCAACTCGCTGCGGTCGGCCTGCCCGCAGGCCTCAACACCTCCACAAAGCCTCCAACTCGCTGCGGGCAGCCTGCCCGCACGGCCTCAACATCTCCACAATAAGCCTCCAACTCGCTGCGGGCAGCCTGCCCGCACGGCCTCAACATCTCCACAAAGCCTCCAACTCGCTGCGGGCAGCCTGCCCGCACGGCCTCAACATCTCCACAAAGCAGCCAGATGGCTGCGGGCAGCCTGCCCGCACGGCCTCAGCATCTCCACAAAGCCTCCAACAGCCTGCCCGCAGAGCCTCAACATCTCCACAAAGCCTTCAACTCGCTGCGGGCAGCCTGCCCGCACGGCTTCACAAGCACCACAAAGCCTCCTGCCCTCCACAAAGCCTCCAACTCGCTGCGGGCAGCCTGCCCGCACGGCCTCAACATCTCCACAATAAGCCTCCAACTCGCTGCGGGCAGCCTGCCCGCACGGCCTCAACATCTCCACAAAGCCTCCAACTCGCTGCGGGCAGCCTGCCCGCACGGCCTCAACATCTCCACAAAGCCTCCAACTCGCTGCGGGCAGCCGGCCCACAGGATGTCAACACCTCTACTTTTGGATTTAAGGGCTTGAGGGTGTAGTGATGTGATGTTTTCGGGTTTAGGTCTTGCAGCTTCCAGGGTTTAGGGGTTTAATGTTTTAGGGTTTAGGGTTCAAGAGTTTCAGGGTTTAGGGATTAGAAGTTTTCGGGATTAGGGTTTAAGGGTTTCAGGGTTTATTGGTTTTAGGGTTTAGAGATTTGGGGTTTGATGGTTGCAGGGTTTAGTGATTTGATGTTTTCAGGTTTAGGTCTTACAGGTTCCAGGGGATGGAGATTTAATGTTTGAGGTTTCAGGGTTCAAGCAAGGGTGTCAGGGTTTAGTGATATGAGGTTTTCGGGGTTAAACGGTTCACCGATTTTGGGGTTCAGAGATTTGCGGTTTCAGGGTTTCAGGCTTTTGGGGCTTTGGGGTTTGGCATTTTGGGGAGGCTCAAGAGGTGTGTTGGGTTGAGAAGGTTTTCGAGAGTTACGAGTTTATGGCCACGGGTTAGGGCTCAGGGGGTTCAGACGTTTAGGGTTTACCGGGATTACGGGGTCCAGGGGTTTAGGGCGTAGGGTTTTTCAGACCAATCGAAGGTCCTCGAAGGGTCTAACAAGGTTCTGTGATAAGGGTGCTATAACGGCTCCTTGGGTTTTGGGAATGTGAAGGTTGGGGCTGGGGTTTGGAGTAGGTTCTTTCAAGGGATCTATGGCTCCAGGGTTTAGAGTTTGGGATAGGTTCTAGCAGAGTCTCACGATGCTGATGACGATCCACAGCCTTAAGTTCTAAAGGGTTCTGTGTGCGAGCGTAGTCCAACATACCTCCGTTCGCATCGTTCGCCCCTCAAGTTCTTGCAAAACCTGCCTGTCCTGCGAGGACCAAGAAGGCCTTCTATCATCAGCGCTTGGCACAGTGCCTGTGCCGCACACTGGACATGGAGAAAGTTGGCAGGAAGGATCGTTCAGAGCTCCTCCCACGCTTGGTGAAACAAGTTCTCGACATCACAAACGGGATCCGATTTCCTCTGGATGCCAACAGCGACGAGAGTCGTATTCTGGAGTACATGGATTTGATGGAAGCGGTCGCCCAGGTGCACCGGGGATTTCTTCTTGTTATTGTCATCTAATTTGCTCTCATTTTTGTCATGATGAAAGGTTCCTGAGCGTAAGACTGTACTGTAACAGAAGCCGCTCTCTTTCGACAACGTTTTGTTGCAGTTCCCGTCAGGACAAGGAGGCTCGGTGCTTGCTGGTGCGAGGAGACGCTGTTGCCAAGGCGCTGCAATGCTGTTAGGGTCCCTGTTGTGTCGACCTTTTAGTTTGTGGGAGCCCTTTGCAGAAGAGCCCTAAACCTTGAGACCCTAAACAGGCATTGCAGTTCACGCAGCACCGCGCACAAGCCGTGGCTGCTGCGGCCCTGAACGCCTTGGGACAAGTTGCAAGCGACGGCGTGGAGGAGGTCGGGCAAGTTGGAGTATCACAGGGAGACTATTCAGAAGCCTTACTTGGAGAAGTGCCCTGGGCCCTGAACTTGCTAAACCCTATATACACGCTAGTTTCGAAACGTTGCTCCTAAAACGCTTTCAGCGCCTGACGCATCTACGTTAGAACGTTTGGTCTCGAAGAGGTGTCACTGCCGGCCGATGCTTTGCGCTGGATGCTGAGCCTCCTGCGCAGTGGCCACCGGGACTTCGAAGCAAACGCCAGAGAGTTTAGTACCCCAGGTCTTTACCGGCGGCCGAAACCTGCAAAACCCTAAGCCCCCACCCCAAACAAAGCTCTAAATGTAGGTATTGTGCGGGGGTTCTGTAGTGGTTTTGGAGGGTTTAGGGCAGTTGGGGGTTTCGTGGTTTAGGCTTTTGCGCCCGAGATGAGTTGATGGTAAAGGCAATGTAAATTCTTCGAGCAAGGATCCCGACTAAAAACCGGGTCCGCAATCCTAAGCCGTAAACCCTAAACCCTAAACCCTAAGCCCTAAACCCTAAACCCTAAACCTTAAGCCCTAAACCCTAAATCCTAAACCCTAAACCCTAAGCTTCCTAAGCCCTGAACCTCCTGGTTCTGATAGCAGACAGGAGCCCAAGACAATCGCTCCCTTGTTCTTTCAAAGGGGAAAAGGAGGGACCCTTCATGGGGACCCCTAATGGCAATAGTAAGGGTATATATGTAGGGGTCCTTATTAAGGGTCCCTCCTTTTACCCTTGGATTCTTACCAGGGGATGGGGGAATGGGTCCCTCTGATGGACCCGAAAAGCGTTCCTTGTAGTAGTCCCTATGTCCCTCCAGGGACTCCAGGGTATCCTACTCTTACGCACGAGGCCATACACTATGTCTCGATTTGGGATTAAATTTTGGTTTCCCTTTATTGTTTTATATGGAGCCTAGATTCGTTAACAGACACCTAGGAAAGCTTAAACCCCCATCCTCGGACCAAGCTTGAAATCCTAACCCTCCAAGCCCTGAGCTCGCGCTGTGAACTCAGGCCAGTCAGCGCGACTCAAGAAGGCGGGTGTTTAGTTTCTCTTCTTCCGATGCTGTTTTCACATGACGGTTCAGCCTCTAACAATTGGCATTAAGGGTATAGGGTTCCGGACGACGACTATTGACTACTGTACTCCTGGCCTGACGGTTGCATCCTAACGTGGTCGAAATAACCCCGTGTGGCTTTGATATTGCTTCTACAATAATGTACCCAAACCCCTCTTCTAATTGTCAAGGCCCCTACATCAGCCTTCACACCTAAACCCCTAAACCCTAAACCCCACAACCCTCGACAAGGCGGCGGCGCAGTGCCTTCAGCGGCTCTGCTACTCGGCTCTTGTCAAGGGGCCACCTTTAGTAAATCAAACTGAGTTTCCTTATCATGGCAACCGAAAAGAATCACGTTCCTGAATTCAATACCTTATAGAAACCTTACAGAAGTTATGGTAAATGAAAATAAGGTCCCAGGCCCTAAACCCTGACCGTGGTAATTTGGACTAGTTAAAACCTGCCAGATTCCTTGTAGAAGCCTTCAGGGAGCCTTAAATTATGCCCTTAAACCCTAAACCCAAAACCCTAAACCTTAAACCCTAAGCCCCAAATCCTCCAACCCCCCTTAGCAGCTCCTGAATAAGAACCCTTAAAGGAAACCTAAACCATTGATTGTACCCCAAACCAAGCTCCTTAACCCTAAACCTCAAGCCCCAAACCGTGGTAAGCTAACTTAGACTTAGCTCCTTAGTTCCCTAACTCAAAACTTTGTAGAGCTTTTACAGAAGCCTTAAAGGAAATACTTTACTAAACCCTAAACCTTTAACCCTACTCTAAATTATGGCGCCTTATTTGCAAGCCCAGGCTATGGGTCCTCGGCCTCGGCGCAGGCCTTGCGCCGAAGTCTGGACCAGCTTCAGGTCGGTCGGATCTCTTACCTTTAATTAGAAGGGAATGGAGGAATGGGGTACAATCATAATTGCTACTACTACCATTCCTCCATTCCCTACTAACCAAAGGTGAGATCTGAGAGTGCTTGAATCGTAGCTTTGGGTGTCTGGGAATCCTAGCTTAGGGCTCTGGCAGGTTTTAGGTTCAGAGTTTTCGGGGCTTTGGGGTTTAGGATGTTTGGGGTTTGGGTTTAGGATGTTTAGGGTTTTTTGGGTTGAGGGTTTGGGGTTTCTCAACCCGAAGCCCAAGCCGCAAACAGTCAGGCCGCCTCTGGTTGCGAGCTCCCATAAAGGAGGTTACAGAGCTACATACAGGTACCACAGATTTCAGTGGGAACAACTCTCTATCCATCTACCCGTCTGTCTGAGGGTTTTGCTGGTATTCGCGATGTTATCATGTACTGTAGCAACAACTATGGTGTCCCTGCGAACAAGCTGTGGCATGTTGAGTGCATTCAGATGGAGTTCGTAATATCTACCGTCATAGCTCTGTACACATGCCAACCATCAACATCGTGTTACTTCTTTACTTTCATCGTTGTCAAAATCATCATATCATCGACATCTTCAGCATCTCCACCATCATGTTTCGTAGGAGTCATGTAAGGACCAAAGCCCCGATATCCCCCAAAGCCCGATAAATCCGTTAAGTTCTGACGAATTGAACCATCTACTAATCTGTTCGTTTTATTTTTTACGGCTCCTACAAGGCCTTCATTGTACACCACTATAGAACTCTTCTCACAAACCTTACAGAAGGAACCCTTATCTAGTTCTTGAGGACCCCTACCCCATGAGCCAGTATAGAACTCTTATCACAGACCATATAGAAGGAATCGTATTCTAAGTCTTGAAGGCCCGCACGCTGTGAACCATTATAGAACTCTTATCATAAGCCTCGTACAAGGAACCTTATTCTCAGAATTCAAACATCCTACTAATATAGAACTCTTGTGCTAAACCTTGTACAAGGAACCTTACTCTAAGCTCTTCAAGGATCCGACCTGAAACCCTAAACCCTAAACCCTAAACCGTGGGACGCAGACTCCGTGAGGCAGTGCCTGAGCTCCTCGCGGCGGCGCGGCATTTTCAGAGCGCGGAGCAGCAGGCTTAACCGACCTTTGGTTAGTAGGGAATAGAGCTCCTTTAAAGGGATCTATAGGGGTGTAGGGTTCCTTTAAAGGGATCTTTACCCATGGTTAGTAGGGAATAGGGCTCCTTTAAAGGGATCTATAGGGGTTTAGGGTTCCTTTAAAGGGATCTTTACCCATGGTTAGAAGGGAATAGGGCTCCTTTAAAGGGATCTATAGGGGTTTAGGGTTCCGTTAATGGGATCTTTACCTTTGGTTAGTAGGGAATGGAAGGGGCCTTATAAAGAGGTCTATAAGGGTTACTGTAGGGGTGCTATAATAATCCCATAACTTACCTTTGGTTAGTAGGGAATGGAGAAATGGTATTCCCCACTAACCGAAGGTAAGTTAAGGCACCATTTGGGGTCCCTTAACCCTGAACCCCAAACCCTACTCCCTGAAACCTGAACCTCATATTAAGAGCCTCCGGCTCAAGCCGCCGACCCCGTGGGCGACAGACCAGAAGCCGAATGCACTTCCTTGGACGACTAGCAGGGTTGAGGGCTAGGGCGGAGGGGGGGGGAGGGGTCCTACACCCTCAAGCTTCAGGAGGTGGGGCAGAAAAGGAGAAAAAAATCGGTGGTCTCCTACAGTGGACTGATTTGAACCCAATGGGCTGTGGTGTGATGCTTTTCGGGGCTTGGGTGCTGCTTGCAAACAGCCATGGGGTACCCCCCCCCCCCCCGTAGGGTGCGCCCGGTGCGCGGGATTTTGGTGTGGGAGGAGGGAAAAAGGGAGGTTAATCACCTCCAAGCCCATCGAAACCCATCCAACACGCCGCCAGGGTCGGCGGACTCTAATCCTCAAAGCCCTTAAAACCCTAAACCCTAAACCGTAAAGTAAACCCTGAACCTTTTTTGGGTTTAGCTGCCAGTTGCTGCAGGTGGGCCGGAACGACGGAGCCGAAGTGGCCAGGCACGTGAAGAACGCGGCCTTGCTGATGTTGAACGACCGTCGCCGGGCCGCTACAGGGGTTTAGGGCCTTGGGGCTTTAGGGTTAAACCCTAAACCCTAAACCGTAGGGGTTTAGGGCTTTAGGGGTTTAGGGCTTGGGGGCTTCACAATTTAGAGTTTGGGAGGGTGTTGCTTGTCTTGAAGCCAAGAAATGCAGCCCTCAACCTCCACAGTTACTAGTTAGAATTAGTCCCGACACGATCACAAAATCGAACATCTCAGAAGCTTCTTGTAATTCTGCCTTGCTTTGCCCCTAGACCCTGAACCCAAAACCCAATCCAATGCCTCGAAGGCAACATCACGCCCGAACCAGATCCGAGCCACGGCCGCATCGTGTTGGAGGCCATGGCATACGCCACAGCCAAGTCTTTTGCCAAGGACGGTGGGGTCGGTTTCGTAGACTCTCAAACTGGTATCATATCTCTAAACCAGTAAACCCTAAACCCCGAACCTTAAACAGCCTGCAGGAGATAGCCTTCAACAATGAAGCGGCTGGCGTCCAGTGCTTCGGGCACGTGAAGTTGGGTGCTTGGACGGCTCAGCCGGCGACGGCTGGCGGCCCGCTCGAATGCTCACTGTCGTGGATGAGCCTTTGCTGCAATTTGAACCACTGAACTGCGGGGTTGGAGCCAAGCCCCAACAAAGCCATCATCTCCTCACCTTCATCTGTTGATCATGTCGTTTTGGTGTTGGACCGCTGTGGTAAGCATTGTCATTCTCACGATCATGGTCATCATCGCCATTATCGTGGCCGTCATGTTCATCATCGCCATCACTCTTGGCATCGCCCTCCTCCTCCTCCTCCTCCTCGTCCTCCTCCTCCTCCTGCTGCCCCTTCTCCTCCAACTCCTCCTCCTCCTCCTCGTCATCCTCATCGTCACAATCCTGGTCATGATCAGGGCCACGGTCAGGGTGAGGGGCGTGGCCACGGTCATCGTTGCCGTCGTCATCGTCATCATCACCATCAACAGCGTGATCGTTGTGATCATCAACTAAACTTCGGTCTCCTCATCCTCGTTTTCAGCCTGATCCCGATGCTGCTGTTCATAGTCTCTCTTCCAGTTGTCCAGTTGCGAGGGTTCTCCCAGCCTATATGACTTTCACGGCTCTTGTAAATGAACCTTCGGAGAGCATTTCAGGGAACCCAGACTCGTCACCAAAATGTCATATGGGTGGTTGTCAAAATTAGGGTCCCTTTTTGGGTCCTTATTATAATACGGCACCTAATATTTAGGGCGCCCAAACAGGGACCCTAATTTTGACAACCACCCTTATAGTAATCCTTATAGACCCCTTTAACAGGAACCCTGAAGAGAACCCTGTTTTCATTGCTGGTCTCCCGGTGGTCTCTTGGTGGTATCCTGGTATTTTGACAACCACCCATATCCTCTCCAGCAGCCCTGAGACGAACCCCGAAACACGAAAGTAAAAGCCAGAAACTTGGAATATGATTATCCTAAACCCTTTATGGTAAGTTATTATCCTAAACCCTTTATGGTAAGTTATTATCCTAAACCCTTTATGGTAAGTTATTGTCCTAAACCCTTTATGGTAAATTATAAGGTATCCTACCCTGAAACCATATTCCAACTTTCTGGAGTTCCCTTTAAACCGGAACCGCAAGCCGTAACCTCTACGCCCGTCGTCGCAAGCCTAGTAACCTAGTCGCCCGTGATGCCAAACATATTCTGCTTTCCTTTATCCCTCTAAGCCCTACATGGTCAGGAACCCATCGAAATTCCTAAATGCTTCTGAGCCGTACATCGTCAGGAACCCCATGCACGTGCCTAAACTCTTAACCCTAAGCCGCAAAGCCTGAAACCCTAAACCCTACACCCTAAAGCCTAGACCCTACGCCCTAAGCCCATAAGCCCTAGCTCGTCAGGAACCCCATGGACGCCTAAACCCTAAACTCCTACACCCTAAAGCTTGAAACCCTAGACCCTAAACTCCTAAACCCATAAGCCCTACCTTGTCAGGAACCCCTCGAAATTCCTAAATGCCTCTGAGCCCTACCTTGTCAGGAACCCCTCGAAATTCCTACATTCCTCTGAGATCCTCTGAGCCCTACCTTGTCAGGAACCCCTCGAAATTCCTACATTCCTCTGAGATCCTCTGAGCCCTACCTTGTCAGGAACCCCATGTTCGCCTTGCGCTTCCCACCTGGTCGGAAGGCGGCCGTGGCGGTGGCAGCTCTTCGGCTCGGGAGCAGCAGAGTTGTCGCTGCTTTTTTGGTGGCTTTTTGTGGTTTCGATATGGGGTTTGGGGCTTGGGGCTTAGGGTTTGGGGTTTAGGATTTAGGGTTTAGGGGGTTTGTGGTGTGTTGTTTTGGGTTTGGGCTTGTTATTCAGGGTGCAGGCATAGGCCGGAAGTTAGGTTGTGCAACGGACATCGCCATGTGCGAGCTTGTCGTTCCTAAGGGCACTTCAGGCAAAGCAGGTCTTTTTTCAAGTTGACCTTGAACCGTTTGGTCGTCCTCTATGTCCTCAGGTTTCGGGTGTGGCTTTTGGGGTCTTCATTTTGCAGGGTTTCAGTGCAGGACGTGCGAGTTTTGCTGTTGCCAGTCTTGCTGGCTACTACATGTCCACTATTGTTGCTGTAATGCTGAACTTGTTCTTGTTCCAAGCATTCTTGCTCGGAAGTTGCAGCACAGCGATAACACAGTAAGAGCAAGATGATACCGCTAGATCGAACATCCAAAGCTGTGTCAACGCATCCCACAGCAACGGGACAGAATCAACACCGTTGAGAGCTGTGGATACAGCACACTATGGAAAGATCTGGGACAAAATGAATGGAGCTGCTCTAATTATCTCTCAGCCGAAAGACAAAGCATGCAAAAGCAGCTGAAGTCACAGGTTATCGATCCTGACGCCGAGTCCCGGCGGGAGCATGGGCCCAGCCAGCAGCGGAGCCTCTACCACGTCTCCAGGATCATGACCGCCACGTGTCTTCGAAGTTCTTGGGATCTTTCTGGAAATCTCTAGTGATTGATAGGATTCAGAGCTGAAGGTCCACAAGCACTGAACTCAACCCTGAACAAGGTGGACAGGACCGAGGGTTCAGGGGCCTTCGCTTCCGGAGTTCGAGGTTCAAGGCTCAGGAAGTTTCGCAGCGACGGCCTAGGCATGTGCAAACGCGAAGAGCAAGCGGCGTGTGTTGACGTCGGGTTCCCTTTCTTATTCTTGCAAAGCCTAAGCCCGAAACCCGAAACCCGGACTCAGGGTGACCCTGAGCCCTAAACCCTAAACCCTAAACCACGAAGCCAGAAGCCACAGGCTGTGGATCACCATGGCCTCACTTCCTTTTCAGGGACCTTCGTATGGGGTTCCCTTAAAGGGGTCTAGAAGGGTTACTATACAAGGGGTCTATAGGGGTACTATGATATAGGCGCCTTAGTTATTACCTAAAGGGAACTCCAGAAAGTTGGAATATGGATTAATGGCAGGATCCCATATAACTTACCTTACAGGGGTTACGATAATGATATTCCAACTTTCTGGCTTCTTCTTAAGGAATATACCCTTTATATAGAGGCCTTAGAAGGGTTACTATAAGGGATCGATAGGGGTACTATGATATAGGTTCCTTAGTTATTACCTATACTACCCTGAGCATCCCATATTGATTACAATCAATATCTTGATTTTGATGGTTCGCAGAATCAATATAATGACATTGATTGATTGTAATCAATATGGGATGCTCAGGGTAGTTGTGCTCAGGTGAAGCGAGCCCACTCCGCCGAGGGCGCGGAGGAGAAGGATCAGGCTCTGCCCGGCATGAGCCATCTGCAGCCCCCAAAGCCCAGTGCTACAAAGGAATGTACGTGTGGGCCAGCATATATATATATATATATGTATATATATATGTATATATATATATATGTATATATATATATATATATATATGTATATATATATATATGTACATATATATGTATGGACATCAAAACAAGGAGTTCGAACATGCAGGTTTTCCGGGCCACAGTCATATGAACGGCCCACCTGGAAAGGGAAGACAGCAACTCTAGGTAGGCCTTTGGGACATTTTAGATTTTCCTTTATTGGGCTTAGTAGGACCCTATTTACGAATATTTTTCAGAGGCTTTAAGGGGCCAACCTGGAAGAGAAACCAGGCCAAGTTCTTGGAGGACCTGGTCGACCGAGGCTTCAACTCACCGTTGCCGGGCGCTGGGTGTTGGATGGGGGGTTGAGGGATGTCAACCCTAAAGCTTAAGCACTAAGCGCGACACCCGGGTTTCGGTGTTTTTTTTTCAGAGTTCGTGATGAACGAGACGAAGTGTGATTTGGGGGCTCTACAATGACATTAAAAATGATGTTCAGGCCCCAATTTTTGCTATTCCGAGCCATGTTGTTTCCAGAAATGCTGGACCCAGGCTGTTTTGGCAGGGTTTGCAGAGCGCTGCTCCGTTCATGTCTGAAGATGTTACGGCGCAGCACGTCGAGGAGCTGAACACGGACGACTCTCACATACTCATGCTGTCTATGGGAACTGCTCTGCAAGAGAAGCGATACGTGGTCAGCGTTTGTGCGGATGCGCAGCTCGAGCTCGTGCCTCTTTCCACAGAAGGTCGGGGTCTCCGACCCTTGTACCCTAAATAGTAGGATCCTTATGACAAGGACCCCCCAAAATACGGCACCCCATATTCTGGGATTCTGGGAAACCCCCAGGTTGGCAGAGGCGCAGCTTTGCAGGGCAATGGCGCAGCTCGATACCAGGATCTGCTCAAGCCATGATCGATCTGCAGCAAGTTTCTAGATTGGATTTTGCGACATTTTCTATTTTCCTTATTGGGTTTATAAGGGACCCTATATATAAATATTTTTCAGGGTGTTTAAAGGCCAACCCAGGTTTTCCCGCAGCTGATCCTTACAAACGCGGCAACCTCCTCGGCCAGCGTCTGCTTCATCCTCTCCTTCACTTCGAAGGATGCGCAGCATGTGAAGAAACACAAATGGCACGAGGAAGACGATGAGGAGAATATCGATGCATCCTGCCCAGGCGCTTCTTACCCCTTGCTTGACATACAGCTTTTCGAGACTGGCAAGCACCCGATTCAACGCTACGTGGGGGGCGGCTTTGGTGTAGCCAAGAACCGGAAAACCTCCAACGAGTGGGTGGCCTTGGGAGCACAGCTGCCACCCTGCAGCACCCACAGTCTGGTGATAGGTCGGTGCTGGGGTCACACACAGAAGCAGTTGCCGGACAAGGCGGAGTTCCAGTCATTTCGGCTCTTGGTGCTGTCTGATTGCGAGCTGGAGATGCAACCGGTCCGCTGTAGCAACGAGTGGCGCGTGGCATCGTCAAGGCTGCTACGGGTTCAGGACACGAAGGCCTCCTCCAAGCTGAAGCTGCAACTGAAAGATGGATCATCCTCCGAGTCAGAGGCCTCCCAGAAGCCGAGACATCCGGTGAAAATCATGGTGACCACATGTGCGGGTGAGGAGTCACCGGCTTACATGATGCTGCAAGCCTTTCCGCCCGACGGAAAAGTGGAGGTCGAGCCGGTGCTATGCCCCTCGAAGGACGGAAAAAGAGTCTTCCTGTCCCCGAACGTACACAATGAGTACGAGCTCAGCGGCGGCGACTGGACGATCAACATCAACTACCATCCCCAGTGCAAGCCCGGCTTCTTGCTCGGCGTGCGCGTCTTCAGCCTCTGTGATCTGGAGCTGCAGTGGCAAAGCCCCACCGAAGCTCCCGAGAAGGCTGGGCCCAACTTCTGGCAAAAAGTCCCTCTGTTCGTAGAAGTTCGTCTGTTCACAAGGACAAGGAGGCTAATAAGAAAGAGTATGTATACTGTGTTACTGTTCGTCGATAGCAGAGGTAGATCCCGGCAGTGACTTTGAGCGGAGCTTCATCCAAGAGTTCCGAACCCAGCTCCCCTCCTGGCAGCATCCCCACAGCGACGAGGATCTGCGGATACTGGGCTCTCCTTGAGGAACATCATTTTCCGTTGCCATAAGAGGGGTCTACATAGTCTAACACCATTTCCTTATTGCTTGTTGTGGTAGGTTTGATTAAGTCAGCTGTTTTGTGGTAGTTTAAGTCACGTTCACTCTTATGGTACCGTTACTTAACCCCGAAACCCCCAAACCCCAAACCCTTTCTTATGGGGATTTACATAATCTATATTGGGGTTTCCTTACTGTTGATGGACAAAATCCTGCATTACCCATTGTAAGGAATGTATCATAATTCCCATAGTTTAGGGTCCTTGGGGTAATGCAGGATTCTGTCCATCAACAGTAGGAGGCCAAACGGGGTTTTAGCCTACGGGTGGTTTAGTAGGGGGGTTCATATTAAGGAATCCCTACCATATTGGGGCCCAAACCCTAAACCCTTATGGTACCTTGAATGAGCCCAGGGACCCCTAAACCCCAAACCCTTTCTTATGGGGGTCTATATAATCTATATTGGGGCTTCCTTATTATGGTACCTTAAACCCTAAACCTTAATGAGCCCAGGATTGAGGACTCCGCTTTCCCGCCGGTGCCCAATCAGAGGGCCGAGGACCGCTTGGAAGCCGGGCCTCTGGGGGGGGTTTTAATCTAAAAAAGGGCTTAAATAGTTACTCATACTATTTTGGTGGGTTCCTTTAAAGGGGTCTTAGTCTAATGTTTTAGGGTTTAGAGTTTAGGGTTTAGTCCAATTTTTGAGGGTTGAGGGTTTAAGGTTTAGGGATAGCTACCAATACTATTTTGTGGGTTCCTTGAAAGGGTCTGTAAGGGCCATAAGGGATCTAGAGTAGGGTTCTGTGTAGGGCCTGGGGTTTACAAGGCTTGAGGTGGCTTTTGGCTCCAGGGTTTGGGAGAAGGTTTTGGGGTTTAGGCGCTTTTTGGGTTTAGGGCTTGGACTGAGGGACGTCTCGCGGTTGAGGAAGTTAGAGCTTAGGAAACATGATGAATCCGCATTCCTATGCCTGTGTTCTAGCAGTTCGATGAAGCAGGTGGGACCAGAGTCGGCAAAGATACATCGTGTATCATTGGTGTGTAAATCTGCATGTATGCATGTATGCGAGCATGTGTGTGGATGGATGTTCGTGCGCAGGTATGTACCTTTCTTTTTAAAGGGCCATCAGCAGAGCTGTAGCTTAAACTTCCCGAGCCGTAAGGAAAACAGCTTTCAACACAGGCAGACAACGTGTTACGGCCTGTATCACTCCAGCACTAAACCCGATGCCCTAAGCCCAAAATAGACTAACTTCCCAGGCCTTCAAGTCATTCAATGCCTAAACCATACATCCTAAACCTTACATCCTCAATCCTCAACCTTCGACCGCAAATCCTAAATCCTCAAGGATAAGGAGATGATTTCGGTGAGCATGGCCTACTTGCAACGCCTGCACCGTCGGGCTTTGCGTGACCAGGGGCCGACAGATGACTAACATAGAGGTCGGAGGAATATCAGGTTTAGGGTTTAGGGTTTTGGGTGCAGGGTTGAGGGTTCAGGGTTCAGGTTTTAGGCGCAACACGGGCTTAGCATTTAGGGTTTAGGGCTCCTTACAATCGCTATCTTATGACAACCTCCGTAACCCCAAACCCTAATCTTACATTGAACCTCATCGAACCTTTTTCAGACACTTTAACAGGCTCCTAAATTTGTTGCTCTGCGTCCGGGCTCCTTGTTCTTAGGCTTTTGAAGGATCTTGGATTTAGGGGTTTAGGGGTTTAGGGGTTTAGGGGTTTAGGGGCTCAGGGATTCAGGGTTTAGGGTTTTAGGGTTCTAGAGGCTTTGGGTTCAGGGTGAAGCGTTTGGCAGTTTAGGGGGTTTCTAGCAATATTTCCCCTTAGATATGGTATTTCACTATAAATCTACATCAAAACCCTTCTTCTAAATCTTCATGCTCCTATACTAGACTGGAACAGTCCCGCTACCCCCGATGGCTCTTCATGATAAATATGCCCCAAAACCTCGTTCTAACTGTTCAGGCCCCTGTTTTCGACTGAAGAGTCTGGTGCTAGAAGCCCTGGGTGCCTCTTCGAGTCCACAAAGCGATTCGGAGAGCATCCTCGGGTGCAAAAAGCCCGGGCGTCCAGGAGGTCCCGGAGCCAACAGGATAGAAAATAAGGGACCTTCATATAGTACCCTAAATAGTAGGATCCTTATTGTAAGGACCCCAAACTAAGGTACCCCTATATAATTTTCGGAAACTCCCATATGGGTCTCCAAGTGATCGTCTGCTGGAGCTTTTTCTCATTTGTGGTGCGCATCCAGGATCCTGGCCGTACTTTCAGGTCTAGGGCACGGTTCTTTTTGCGTAACTTCACCTTGGAAGCGAGGGGGGAGAGTAGGACTATTGCACACCGACCATCTACTAACTTACCTTTGGTTAGTAGGGAATGGAAGAATAGTGGTAGTAGTAGTTATAATTGTACCCCATTCCTCCATTCCCTACAAACCAAAGGTAAGATCAGGATCATGAGAAGCATCGGCATCAGCATAAGACGAGCATCTATATTCGTAGCACATGTTGCAAGGGCACCTACAGTAATAAGCATTGCAACAGCAAGCATGAGGCAGCCGAACCCTTAAGGCCCCCCTTTCATCCGTAAGTTTCCGAGAATTAGGCTTGCCTTTTTCGGGGTCCTTGTAATAGGGATCCTACTATGCAGGGTGCTCTATGGGTGGTTGTCATTTGAGTACCCTAAATACCATGTGCCGCAATATAATAACGACCCCAACAAGGGACACTAATATTGACAACCACCCATATGAGGGTCCCCTGTTTGCGGAAAATCCCATAACATGGCTTCAACCCGGAAGCCTCGAACCCGGAACCTGGTGGCAAAGAAAACGATATCCCCCTTTGCTAACGGGTTTAAGAGAGAGGCTTGAAGAGTGAGTTTAGCCCCTAAACCCTAAACTGTATAGTTCATGGTCCTTATGTAATTTGTTATACTGTTATAGAGTTGTATCCCTTAACTAAAGACGAAAGATGAGTGTTGTCCATCTCTTTCGTCACCCCTGTGTCAACCTTACAAAGCCCCGGTGAAATCACATTAGATTGAGGGTCCCGAACCCCGCAGGGCCCGAAACTTTCAACGTTGAACACCAAAGCTTGTATGCCCCAAGCCCTGAAACTCTAATGCCTGAAACCCTATACATCTGACGTTGGATGCAAGGGATTCGGATCTGTTCTTCGGGTCTACGGATACTTGCGACCTCCCCCGAGTCACCAAGCCGAGGAAATGCTCAGGGTTTAAGGTTTGGGGTTTAGGGTTTAGGGGGTTTAGGGGTTGTGGTTGTAGGTTGGGGGTTTAGGGTTTAAGGGGTTTAGGGGTTGTGGTTGTAGATTGGGGGTTTGAGTGTTGCGGGCTCAGGTTTGAAGGGCTTTAGGCTTTTTGACTTCTGGGGTACTTAGTTTGGGCCTCAGGTTTCAAAGGCATGGGCTTAGCCTTGGCTAAGGATTCAGGGGTTAAGGGTAGAAGATGCATCCTTCAGGGCTTTGTGTTTAGCAAACATCTTCCCCCCCCACGAACACCCCCTCTACCTCCAAGGTTTGCCCAACAAAGTCTGAGTTGTGACACTCACCTCGGCAGCTGCACCACTTCTCAGAGTACGTCTTGCTATGAGCTGAACTGCAACAGTGTAGAAGTTCGCAGAGAACTTGGCTTCGGGGAAAGGGTTCGAGATTTTGGGGGCCTTGGGGCGTGCTTACGCATAAGGCTTCGGACAGTGGCAGAAACTTCTTGTGTCTGGCAAGGTAGAGAGGAAGCGCCAGTCACGCGGTTTAGGGTTTAGGGTTTACTTGGAGGTATGGGGAGTTATAAGTGGGGTTATAATTCCCTTTTTTGGGTTATAAGTGTAGTTACCGTACTTATAACCCCACTTATAACTAGCCCTGAACCTCCAAGTAGTGTTGAGGATGAGCAGGCCATGGCGCTCCCTCGACCGGTGTGGGCCTGTTTGGACCAACGACAGAGCGTTTTTTGTGCAGCTAGACACCGGGGAGTGCTTGGCGTGGGGAAGCTCAGAGTGTGGCGGTGATCTGCCAGATGAGCATAAAGCCAAGCTTAAGGGAATCAAGTCAGCCTGGAGCACGGAACACGCTTTCCTTGCGCAGTTGGACAGTGGGGAGTGCCTGGCCTGGGGTCGCCCAAGGCATGGCGGCGAACTCCCAGAGCTGAAGAAGGGCGTAAGGTCTGTTTGGGCCACGGGTTTTGCGTTCCTGGCACAGCTGGACACCGGCGAATGTCTGGCGTGGGGTTACCAAAGATTTGGCGGTGAGCTCTCAGATGAGCACAAAGCCAAGTTGGAGAAGGGCATCAAGTCCGTTTGGAGCAGTCGCTATGCCTTCCTGGTGCAACTGACAACGGGTGAGTGTGTATCCTGGGGTCTGAGCGTTGGATTTGGAGGACGCGAGCAGCAAGCCCAGCTGGAGAAGGGCATCAAGTGCGTCTGGACCACGAACCAAGCTTTCCTGACACAGCTGGACACTGGGGAGTGCCTGGCGTGGGGTGACAAAGATCACGGTGGAAAAATCCCAGATTCGTTCAAAGCCAAGCTGGAGCAGGGCATCAAGTCCGTCTGGACCACGGAAGGAGCATTTTTGGTACAACTGGACACCGGGGAATGTCTGCTGTGGGGTGGCTCAGAGTACGGCGGCGATGCGCCAGATGTGCACATAACCAAGCTTGAAAAGGGCGTCAAGGCCGTCTGGAGCTCTGGCTATGCCTTCCTGGCGCAGCTGGACACCGGGGAATGTCTGGCATGGGGTCATCCAAAGAATGGCGGCGAGCTTTCAGATGAGCACAAAGCCAAGCTGGAGAAGGGCATCCAGTCGGTCTGGAACACGAGATCTGCCTTCCTGGTGCAACTGAAAACGGGTGAGTGTCTAGCCTGGGGTGTGACTGCTGGATTCGGGGAACACGTTCAGCGAGCCCTGCTGGAGAAGGGCGTCAAGGCCGTTTGGAGGACGGCAGGAGCTTTCCTGGCACAGCTGGGCACCGGGGAGTGCTTGGCATTTGGTTCTGACGACTCCGGTGGCTCTCTCCCGGAGGAGCAGAGGGCTCTGCTGGCGAAGCTCGGGCTCCGAGGCACCAAGAGCTCCGGAGCTTCGCCGGCGGCCTCCGGCTCTCCGCGGGCTGCGGTGAAGTCGTTGCGGGACTTCGACCTGTCGCCGGCAGCGGTGCGCCTCCAGGAGGAGCTCTCCGTGATCTCCAGCTCGCTCCACCGGGCCTCCGTGAAGCTGAGCGAAGCCGAGGCCCGAGATGGGGGCTACTTTTGCTTCAATACCAGGGCTTTCAAGAGGCAGCGGAGAGGGGAGAGGGGAGTCCCTCATAGGCACGGGGATGTCGGTTTTGCGGTCTAGAGTCGAAAAACGCCCCACCTGAAGCTGCACAGAACAGGTGCCAGCCATAGTCAAGACCGCTCGACTAGCCGAGCCCGAGATGGGAAAGATCAAAGATCTGCTGCTTTGGATCAAGAAGGACGGCCTTTTTAGGCGCTCATGTGCATAACGACTTTTCGGGGTTCACCGTCACTTCTTCAGGTTTGCCCACTCCGACTCTTTGTGCTTGCCTCCGGACCCCGAGCCCCAAAACCCAACTCCAAACCCGAAACGCCTAAATCCCATGCAAACGCCCGAAGCCCCCAAACCGAGCCCGTAAACCCTAGAAGACCTCAACCCCTGTTTGTTGGAGACCTGTGAACCCCTCAACCCTCGAACCCCTGAACCTCTGAATCCCTGAACCCCTCAACCCTCGAACCCCTGAACCCCTGAACCCCTGAATCCCTGAATCCCTGAACCCCTGAATCCCTGAACCTCAGGGGTTCAGGCCCAGACACCCCTAAACCCCCGAAGCCCTTGGTGGAGGAGGTGCAGCACGAGCACCTGGCGAAGATCCTGGGCCTCTACTGGCTCAAGCCCGGGGTGCTCGGCATGGTCCTGGAGCCCGCGCCGAGGTGGTTTGGGGATTTTTCCGGAGGTTTTGGGGATGGGCTCTTGAGGGGTGTTAAGGGTGTGAAGGGTGTTTAGGGCTTTCGGTTTGCGGTTTAGGGCTTAGGGTTTGGGTCTTCATGGATTTTGGGGGTCTCAAAAGGCTTTCAGGGCTCTTGGGACTCTTCAGGATGTCATATACCTCAGCCTTAGATAGCGAACGGGGGAACTTTAAACTTTTTAGCTCTATCTTAAAAAGTTTGAACTTTTTGGGACCCGGCTGTTGAAGAAGAGAGCAGCCTTAAACCCTAAACCTTACCATGCTCAGCATGATTCCTGGGCCGGGGATGCTCGGCAGCATCCATCCACCCCTTTTTGTAGCATGGTCAGACTTGTCCTGAATGCATCGTCCCAAAGGTCCCAAGGGCCCCCAAAAGCCTTAACCCTATATGGGTGGTTGTAAAAATTATGGTCCCTTTTTGGGTACGATCCAGAAAGGGACCCTAATATTGACAACCACCCATATAAACTATAGACTAAATGAAGACAGAAGCCTTAAACCCTTTCAGCAATGAGTCGAGTTTGCGAGCTTTTGATGTGCTTTGGTGCACTCCAGACCAGGTTTGCTGTGCTGCGTTTCTAGTGCCACAAGCCTTTCACCTCAAAAAAAGCCTTGTAAGTCCCTCCACCTAAACCTTCAACACTCCCAACAAGCTGGACCCTAAACCCTAACCCTAAACCCAAAAGCCCCTTAACACCTAAACCCCTAACCCCTAAACCCTAAGCCCTTAACCCTGAAAGCCTAAGCCCTGAAATCCTTAAACGCCGCAGCAGGTGCTTGAGGCGTCTCATCCAACAGGAGCCGCAGCTGGCGCAGAAGCAGCAGCTGCCCTTGGCCCGCGGCATAGCCTCTGCCATGGCGTCACCTGTCTTGAGGTTTGGTACAAAGGTTACTAGAAGGGATACTTTCAGGCTTGGGGTTTAGGATTTAGGACTGTTGGGGTTTGGGGTTTAGTAGGGTTTCTTGTAAGGTTTTGTTTGAAGGATACTGTAGGGGTTTCCATAAGGCTTGTTTTTTTTTTGGCGTTTTACCGTCAGGGTTACTATACGTGCCTGATATTGGTCTCCGGGGTTCCTAATGTATTTACATAGTTTAAGCTAGCCCAAAAACCCTGAGGCCCTGAGTTAGTTTGGTGTTGAAGTTTGTGATAGGATTCTGCTAATGAGCCGTCGGTCCTTGCAACTTGCGCTGCGTTCCATGTTATGCTGGGTGTTTTGGAGCTGGGTTTAGGATTGCAGCGCAGAGGACGAGACGAAGCGATTGCAGGTTGTTTCAGAATCTCCTGGTCGTTGCGTGCGGAGCTGCGCCGTTGATCCCCCAACTCCAAGCCGCCAGAAACTATCGGAACCCGCAGCCCTGAAGCCTATAACTCCAAGCCCTAAACCAGGCACTTGCATGGACTCTTGGAGCCTCTGATCCACCAAGAGCTGAAGCCGGAGAACGTCTTGATCTTCGAGTCGGGCTCCGGGCTCCTGGCGAAGGTCACGGCCCCTACGATTGCAGGGAGGTAACCAGGGTTCCAGGGATGAGGGGTTTCGGGCTCTGAGGTTTGGCATTTAGGTTTAGGGTTTAGGGTTCAAGTTCTCATCCTAGAGTCCTTACCTAAATTTGACCTAAATCCAGCTGAGGACGTGGGCTTCAACAAGGCCATCTTTGGACACGGGCCGCTGGCCTACAAAGCGCCCGAACTCTTCGATGGGAAGCCTTGCAGTATGGCTTCGGACGCCAGGGCCTTACATTCATACGGCTGATGGACAAAATCCTGCATTACCCATAATAAGGAATATATCATAATTCCCCTAGTTTAGGGTCCTTGGGGTAATGCAGGATTCTGTCCATCAACAGTAGGAGGCCAAACGGGGTTTTAGCCTACGGGGGGTTTAGTAGGGATTAGGGTTCCCATAATCGGGTTCGAATTCAGGAATCCCTACCCCAAGAATCTTAAACCCTCCCTTTTGGCCTCTGTTGGAGGTCTGGATCTGAGAATCCGGTCGTGGCACGCAATGCTCCCCCCCAAACCCCCAAAGCAGCAAACCGTACTGTTTAGGGTTTAGGGTTTAGGGGCAAACTCCTTAAAACCCCAAGCCTTCAATCGTCAAACCCCTGCGCCCTTGAGGGCAGAAGGTGCCTTATCACAAGTAAAAAATACCCCAACCCTGATCGAATTACTAAGTCCCGTACGTTATGTCTCGACAGGTCTATGCTTTTGCCATCCTCGGCTGGGAGCTCCTCTGTGCACAGGAAGCCTGGGCAGGGTGGCTGGGCATTCCTGTAGAGTTCAGCGTTTGGAGTTTAGGGTGTTTGACTTAGGGATTCGGATCTGGGTTGAGTCTTTTTGGGGGTTAAAGGGGTAAGAGGCGTGATCTACGGTTTGGTGTTTGGGGTTTCAAACTTTAAGGGTCTAGGCCATGGTCTGGTCAGCGCCCTACACGGACTAAGGCGTAAGGCTTAAACCGCTCTGGAGGGAGGAAGCTCGTCGACTTGGAGTTCGGGGGTTCAAGGATTGTCAATTACCATTACTGCAATGATTACGATGATTGTGTTGTCAGTACATCAAAGGTACACAGATTTGTGCAAGCTCAAAGCCATCTGCGTGGAGAACAAGCGGCCTAGCATGGATGAGGAGGCTTCGAAGTCGCGCTTGGGCAAGCTCATTCAGGACTCGTATAATCGTACGTAGTGGTAAAAAGAAACATTATGTAATCAGAAAAGTCATACTATACAAGAATGGATGTACAGTGGCATACCCACCGCTCCGTTATAATTAAGATTTTTATGGACACCCTAAGCCCTAAACCTGAAGGCCCTCACCCTCACCCTAACCCTAACCCTAGATGCTCAAGTTCGACCCTGGGGAAGGAGGCTTGGGCGCAAGACCCCGCTGACCGACCCTCCTTCGAAACGATCCGCGAGAAGCTCTCACAGCCGAGCATCCCCAAGCAGTTGTCCAAGGAAGTGCCGAGCTATTGGTCGGGACAAGACTTGGACCAAGGCACCGTCAGCACTTTGCTTTTGTGGCTTCTGGGGTTGAGGGCCGACTGACTGTCCCTCTCTCGCTGCCGCTCTTGCTGTCTCTCTCGCTCTCGCGGTATCTCTCGCCGTCTCTCTCGCCGTCTCTCTCGCCGTCTCTCTCGCCGTCGCTCTCGCCGTCGCTCTCGCTGTCGCTCTCGATGTCGCTCTCGCTCTCTGTCTCTCGCTCTCGCTGTCGCTGCTGCCACGGGTCTCATATGCATCGGTTCGGGTGCAGCATTAATCCTTCCGCGTGTGTAGGTCCTAAGCAGGGGGACTACACCCAAGACCCTAAACCCTAAGCAGGATCGTAGAAAATGCCCTGTGACGCACAGGCTGGGTTGCTGTCCCTGTGGCTGAAGAGACGTTTCAGAAGCTCTCAGCCCTTTTCGTCGTCACGCAGCCACGGGAGCTCGGGACCGGTCGCGATGCAGCATCCTATTCTCGGGCTTACAGCAACTTGAAGCAGCTTGGTGCGAGCAATGAGACAAGAATCTGTTAGTTGTGGCTGAGCTTCGCTGCTGCCCATGGGATTGTGGCTGTGATGGTTGCTGTTTCTGTTACCGTTGATGCTGCTGTGGTGGCTGCTGCTCCTGTCGTGGTGGTGGTGCTGCTGCTGGCGGTGCTGGTGGTGCCGGTGGTGTTGCTGGTGGGTCTCGTTGTTGTGGTGGTGCTGGAGGTGCTGGTGGTACTGGTGGTGTTGTTGTTGTTGGTGGTGGTTCTGGTGACGATGCACTGTTCTGGGCCCCGAGGTTGTGGTGTGCGTGGCGCATTGAGCACCAAAGTCTTTGGGACAAGTATGTCGCGGAGAGGAACGACGTCGTCCGGCACCTGCGCCAGCTGGAACGGAGCTCCATCGAAACTCCCCAGTGGAGGAGCAGATTTGATTTGCAACCTCAACCTCGAACAAACTTGGGTGACGAACCCTCCACAGCCCCAAGCTCGGCCTACAACTATGTCGCATGGGAGGAGCAAGCTGGAGGACGCCACGGTGGGAATGCCAGACGAGCTCTGTGCCCCCATTGGTCAGTCGGCTCAACCTGGTTTTTGCGATGTTCAAAGTGCAGGGTTCAGCGAATGTCCCCTGAGCCCTAAAACCCAAAGCCGCTGATTTGCATAGACGGAGAGAGCCACCAGCTTGATTATTGAGGCCGTCCTGGCAGGTTTTTTCAGGGTTCAAGTGTTACTGGGCGTTTGGCGTTCAGGGTTTAGCGGTTGATCCAACGCAACCGACCTTGTTGGTAGGGTCCACTTTCTACGCTGAGGCTAACATAAGAACCCTGTCAACAGGCAGGTTCCAGCAGATCTTGCAGCTGAATGCCCCAAACTACGGTTTTGGCCAGCGAACCCTAGACTCTATGCCCCGAGTCCTAAGCCCTAAGCCCAAAACCCCAAAAAGGCCCTGAGCCCTGAGTCCTAAGCCGAGAGAATCGAATCTCAGCATCCGGTCATTGAGAGACTGCTGCCCAGGCGAGAGGTACCTGCTCCATGGCACGAAGCCAGAGGTGCAAGGGCCTGCTAGGGTTGATGATATAAATCCTGCATTACCTTAAGGACCCTAAACTATGGGAATTATGGTATATTCCTTATTATGGCTATGGGTAATGCAGGATTTATATCATCAACCGTAGGGGTGCTTCTCAGGTTGACCCTAAACCCTAAATCCGACACCCCATGCAGGTTTAGGGCTTCAAAGGGTCGAAGCCACAGGTGCTTCTGGACATTCTACATCAGGGCTTCAATGACAAGCTCGCGAGTTTGAGAGGAATGCCCCTTGGTCGCGCAATTAGAATCAGGATCCGATAACCCTAACCGCAGTTAACACTGGAATCCCTGCAAGCCCAGCTAAGACGGAAGCGACGAAAGCCCTTTGTCTAACTTTTTGGCAGCCCGTCGCAGACGATTCGATTCTATCTCGACGGCCCGGCACCGTTGATTCAAGACGCCGTCATGCGCTTTCCCAGGTTCGGCGCCGGAGCCTACTTTGCCGAAGATCCGGACACTTGCCTGATCACGCGTTATCGTTGGCGGGTAGGGGTCCGCTGTCCTGGCGCAGCAGGGCTGGAGGAAGTTCAGTTGCAGATGGTTGTGACCGATTACACAAACTTATTGAAGGGTCTTAAGTGGCAGAAATGAATTTGCACATCTAGGCACAACAACATACCACCATCTGAATATGCTCTGATATACCATAGTTTATCTTTTTTATATCAGAATACACCCGAATATTCCATAATACACCATAATACCCCATACTCATACCATAATATAATAGGCCTTAAGGGTTCAGAGCCCAGGAGAAGATCGACCAATACGCGCGGGAGGATCCGGGCCACGAGACCCCTGGCCTGGAGACCTTGCACTCGCGGCTCTACCGCGCAGGTGGCCACCAGCATCCAGGACCGCACCGAGGCTTTGGGGTTCAGGGTTTAGGGCTTAGGGTTTGGGGTTCAGGGCTTTAGGGCTTTAGGGCTTCAGGGTTTTGGCGCTCTGCCTCCAACCGCCTTCTCCGCACTTCTGATCTGGATTGCTTGCATAATTGTCTCTTGCACCTTGACGTCTTGACCCGTTTCTTCCTACGTAACGCCTCGAAAAACACTCTCAGACATTAGGGAGCTCCGTTACAGGACCCTAAATAGCAGGATCCTTGTTATCAAGAGCTCTGAATCAGGTACGCTTGCTTTGAAAAGACTCCCACACCCTGAACCTGAAAAGGAATCCCGACACCCTATTCTGATTATTGACAAATAGTTGCCGTTATATTAAAGCCCTTATTAACTCCTAGAAGCCCGATAAATGGCTTAAACTGTTATGGATGGGATCCCACTCCCATCACTCAGGGCTCTCTGTACTGCAAACTTCAGAGCTTCATACTAATCCCTAAGCTTTTGGGCTTGGGTCGCAGGTTTAAAAACCCTTTAAAAAATCCCTGTAATTCAGTGAGGAACGCCTCTAAAGAAAGCCTTTTGGGAGGAGATCACATCTTCTACTGCTTCGTGGTTCGTGTGACGTGTGGCGCGTGCTTCCTGAGCCGCGGCTTCAAAGATTCGCTCCTGGGCTGGGCTCTGAAAGCATTTATCAAAGGGTAAATGGAGGGACCTTAATGGGGACCCCTACCCTATAATGGGCTATATAATGCTTAAAGCATTTAAGTTTTAAGTTTTAGGGTTCAGAGCTTTTAGTTTAGGGTTCAGGGACACTTAAGTTTTAAGTTTTAGGTTTTCAGGGGATGAATAGTACTTAGACTTCATGCTGTCAGCAATCTTGTAAAATCCTCATAAGACCCCCCATAACCCCCCGAAAGCCCAACTCTGATTGTCAAAAGCTACAGAACCGCTCAAAGCCCTGGTACAAACCCTAAACTGCCCTAAACCCTAAACCTTAAACCCTAAACCCTAAACCTTAAACCCTAAACCCTAAACCCTGAGCTCTCTTTCCGTAAGTTCCTTTGAAGAAAGAGCCCAGGCTCCGCGACCACGACAGCGACTTCCAAGTCTTCGTCAACGAAGACCGCCGGGTGACCCGGCAGAGTGCAGAGCTTCAAACGCCTGGCTAATGTAGGGGTTTAGGGGTTTAGTAATCAGAATAAGGAACCCAAAAGCCTGGCTACTTGAATTGCGGCTTGGGGTTTAGGGCCTTTAGGGGTTTTCCCTTAATTGCGGCTTGGGGTTTAGGGCCTTTAGGGTTTTTTTAGGGTGTGGGTTTAGGGTTTAGGGTTTTTGGGGTTTAGGGCTTTACTTAATGGTGGGTTCGTAAGGGGTTGTAGGTGGTTTGTAGGGCTTTTAGTGTTCTTCAAGCCTGGCTGATGTAGGAGTTTAGGGGTCTAGTAATCAGAATAGGGTTCCTCTCAAGGGGTCTACTATAAGGGTTCTGTATAAGGCTACTTTAATTGCGGCTTAATGTAGGGGTTTAGGGGTTTAGTAATCAGAATAGGGTTCCTTTAAAGGGGTCTATGTTCAGGGTCTGCATTAGGGGCCTAAAAAATTACCGATACAATGCGGCTTCGGGTTTAGGGCCTTTAGGGTTTTTGGGGTTTAGGGCTTTACTTGATCGTGGTTTCGGGTTTAGGGCCTTTAGGGATTTTGGGGTTTAGGGCTGTACTGGATCGCGGTTTCGGGTTTAGGGCCTTTAGGGTTTTTGGGGTTTAGGGCTTTACTTGATCGTGGTTTCGGGTTTAGGGCCTTTAGGGTTTTTGGGGTTTAGGGCTGTACTGGATCGCGGTTTCGGGTTTAGGGCCTTTAGGGTTTTTGGGGTTTAGGGCTTTACTTGATCGTGGTTTCGGGTTTAGGGCCTTTAGTGTTTTTGGGGTTTAGGGCTGTACTGGATCGCGGTTTCGGGTTTAGGGCCTTTAGGGTTTTTGGGTTTTAGGGCTTTACTTGATTGTGGTTTCTGGTTTAGGGCCTTTAGGGTTTTTGGGGATTAGGGCTTTACTTGATCGTGGTCTCGGGTTTAGGGCCTTTAGGTTTTTTTGGGTTTAGGGCTTTACTAGATTGTGGTTCCGGGTTTAGGGCCTTTAGGGTTTTCGGGGTTTAGGGTTTAGGGCTTTAGGCTTTACTAGATTGTGGTTTCGGGTCTAGGGCCTTTGGGGTTTATGGGGTTTAAGGGTTTGGGGTGTTTGGGGTTTTGGGGTTTAGGGTTCAGGCCCTGTAGGGCGTTTCGTGTTTAGGGCTTTACTAAATGGTGGGTTCGTAAAGGGTTGTAGGTGGTTTGTAGGGCGTTTAGGGTTCTTACTATACAGTGTTTAGTTTACAAGGATTTGAGGGTTTTTATGGTCTTTTCTAAACGAAGCGCATGCTCACCGAGAAACAAAACCAATCGGCTTCCGCGGTGTTTTGAAGCTGTCTCGATGCGAAACTGAGGAGCTTTCGGCTGTGCCCGGATCAGAGCCTCGAATTCCCTACCACACCTTGGTGGTGCAAACGGGGAAGGAGGCCAAGAAGAGAATCGCATCCCGGCCCAGCAAGGGTTTGAGTTTCGGATTGTCATGCTACCCTTGCTGCTCTTTCTGCATGCTGCTGCTTTTGCCACCACTGCGGCGACGACGACGACGATGTTGCGGCTTCAACTCTACCTGCCACTGCGACTGCGACTGCTAGTATTACCGCTACCTCTGCCATCACCAGCGGCTTTGTTAGCACTGTAAATATCTATCCTCAAGGAGTCAGTGTCGTAAGACTGATTTTGGCGATAGTGTCATTGATGCTCTCGCGTTTCGTCCAAGGAGCGCTTTCGAGAAGTCATCTCCTTCAGTGCCAACCGCGCCTATCCGGAGTACCTGCTGGCATACCAAAGGGTATAGCCTGCATGTCTGATCTCCTTCTTCGATGTCCGTTTGTCCGATTCTTGACATCGCAGTAGAGATCACGAGGTGGGGCCAAGACACAGAACTCACGCCACTCATCGCAATTATGGCCCTACTTTGCTCTTGGTAGACCCTCTCAGCCCTTCAAGTTTCACCGGAATGGGCTCATGCTCCGAAGGAGCATCGCACCCCATGGCATCCCCAAGGAAGCAGATGTGCCCTGGCGGCCTCGGGCCGGACGAAGGGCTGTGGAAGCTGAGACAGGTTGTGCACGAGGTACGCCTCTGCAGCACTGAAGGAGCCAACAAAAGGCCAAGGCCGAAGCTAGACCCCAGACCGCCGAACCCTGAACCCCAATCTTACCTGTGGTTAGTACTAGTAGGGCATGGAGGAATGGGGTACAATTATAACTACTATTACTACCATTCTTCCATTCCCTTCTGCCCAAAGGGAAGCAAGGGTGTAGCTCCCTTCCAGGCTGCCGCGGCTGGCTGCTGCTGCACGCGCTGCACCTGTAGGATTCCTCCGCAGGGGCCTGAAAAAGGACAAAAAGTTGCGGTTTCGCGTCTTGGC